AAATAAATACGTAGAAAAACATGGCGCGTTCAAATGCATCGAGTCTTTTTAAACTTAAACGTGCCAAACGTCGCAGTTTGTCATTTATTCGTTCAGCACTAATTGTCGCATTTCTCAATGCAGACGGGTTCTCTTCTTCACCTCGGCAGTCCTTTACAATCGGAAGACGTTAGTATTTTACGTTGGCACGTGTCACCGGAGAAAAGAACAGATTTTCGTGACTTGTAGGTTGCCTCTTGACGAGCGTATCAATCGCGCCGCCACGTTTATCAGGATAACGATTGGTTTCCTTTTTTTTTTTTCGCCACCGCGAGCGAATCCGTCGGTTGCCGACGCAACATTATATAAAAATGCGATTCACACTCGACGCGTTCGTTAATTCAACGGTACAAGCGCAAAACACAGGAAAAGCCTCGCGACCATTACGTAAGAGCGAAATAAGCCAAGCGAGTAAATATCGACGAGAAAGCGATGCGAGAGATGCTGCGCGCAAAGTAGTCGAGAAATCGATCGAGCTGCACGAAACCACCTTCTCGACCTTCGCGGTTAAACGGCTGGTGCTTAGCAATTTTTTTTTTTTTTAACCATATCGCGATTGGAGATACTCGTCTTTCATCGATTTGAAGTGTAAAATTGCAGGACACTTCGGAATATTCGCAAAGGGGGCACTTTTGATTTATCGCGCTGACACCCTCTTGACGACCAACTAGACGAACGCGGGATGTTTTATGGATCGAGCGATGCGTTCGAATTGCAAAAATGTACAATCGCGAAAGGACTTTCCTTTATTTCTTTTTTTATATCGTGGACGATAATAATGGAATTTTTCGAATCGTTCAAACGTACTATTAATTTCTCGTGTATTGTTCGCGACGTAGGCGTGAAGATTAACGATTACCTCGATAACAGAAAATTTTCTTGTCCGGCGCGGATGAAATTCGAGCACCTCTCGCAATATGAGCGCAGCTTTTTCATCCTCCGTACTTTTTTCCAAGCTCGATCTCCCTAGAAAAAACAGAAATGACCATTGCAGACCTTCGAAATCTGATTCGTCCCCGCGCGCACCGAACGCATTTCACATCCTCACGCGTGCGCGACTCGCCAATTTGCGAAAGTGCGACTTTTATTTTTTTTTTGTCCGTCGGCTTTCACTCGAATTAACACGGAAAGCTCATGTCAACAACAGATAGATGCGAGCTCACGGCACTTTCGATTCGCAGTTTTCATCCCAATGATTGACAATTAGGGCCAGTAGAACATGCTCGCATCTCTCATGCGGCAAGGAAGTGCAGATATAGGTAAAGCATTGAAATACCACCTGCCAGGTAACGACTGGCTTCGATAGACGTAGATAAGGAATCTTTATTGCATCAAACGGCTGATTCATTATTCAGCCTGGTTTAGGTGTAAATTTAGACGTGAGAGCCGGCTAATGAATTCGTTAAAAATAGCGCGGAGTATACCGAACAAAAATTTAAAAAAATCACGGTTGCGCGACCTATCGATCTTTTCGTCTTGTTTACGCGCGCGTAAGGCGTCTCGTTAATTACCTCGGATGTGTCTGACCTATCTCCAGTCGTAAAACGTTTGATTTGGAATAGACAGCGCGCAGCGTTACGCGATAGATCAATGGCAATCGCGCTTTACCTCTTCATCCCCGTACGAGGCGAACGCGCGGACGACGTCGAGTCGCTGGCGCAAGATTGGACGGACTCGATATAAAGTGAAGCGCAAGCAAGCGTATGCGAATTGTATTGCCAGCAGCGGTCAATCGGACTCGTTGATCTAATCTTCGCAAGTGGAGACGGCGAGGTCGCGGCCGACAAGGACAAGGCTCCCTGCCGTTGCCCATTTCCCACGAGAGACGTCGATCGGAATAGAAATCGCCGTGAATTTTCCGATGAGCGCGCTAAGAAAAGAGAGAACCAGCGCGTCGGGAGGGGGGGGGGGCATAATGAAAACTGCGGAGCCTTTGTGAAGAATCTGTGTCACGCGACGGGTAAAGTCGATGGCCTGTTACGCGACGATGCAATTTAGCCCTAATCCTTACCTCGTTTCAAACAACATGCACGTTGACGCTTACGAAAGGCTTCTTATACTCATATCTGAGAGAAGACATACACGCGGATCGTAAACAACATATTTGCGTTTTGAATATTGTCTTATAGTGGCGCGTGTTACGATATCATGAAATTATAGGGAAGTGTTGTTTATCTGATTTTAGAAGAATTTGTCCGCTATATTCTTAAAATATTTGGTTTTCTTACTTAATCGTTCTCTTTTAGAAATAATTGGCATTATTTAAAAGTACTATCCTTGAATTATAAATGATTTTGATAAAATTTAAATTAGGAAGTCGTTTTGCGTTATTAAAATACTCCATTTTATTTCTATTCGAGCTATCACCTTCAAAGTCTGAGTTGTATAGTACGATTAAGTAGTAAAACTGATAATTATTGGCGCAATAGCAATGTGTTGTTATGATGATAAAATTCTATACATCTTGGTAAATTTTCTCGCTGCACTTACAAAAGAAATTTCTCGATTGATATTTCGCTGAACCAGTCCTAAGAAACGGTTGAGTTTGCGCCTACTAGAGAATCTCCAATCTAGGAGATGTTGATTTGTAAAGATGTCCGTTAGGTCTTAATGATTAATGATTAGTTTGCTGCTTGTCGCCGGCAATAAACATCATCAGAAAACTTGCCAGGTCGTGTAAAAGAGAAAAAAAATGCGCTGAGCATGCATGAGAAATACCGGCGCGCGTTCATTTGGGCTTTACTTCACTTTAAGTGGGCGTTTGCCAAAATATTCGGGTCGTTCAACTTTTGCCAGCGTTATTCTCGCTATCCTTGTTCGTCATCGGCAGATTTGAAGCGCGACGCTCGTTCGCTGAATTGGCAAAGTTCTCTAACTGCTAGTTTGACGAAGTGGCCTCGTGAGTTTTTTTCGAGTTGCTGCAATGTGTCACGTAGCGATTTTTGTGAATGTCATTCTCGAGCGAATCGTTTAGGTTTTACTAGGGGAAGGGAGGGAGGAATCTATCATAAAATAACGACTTTTATTGGGACTGCGCTTCAAATGCATTATGGTTTTTTATCTTGTCAAATTTAAAAGAGATAATTCGTCCCCTTCGTTAATTTATAAAAAATGAATTTATTTATAATGCAAAAGATAAATGAAACATTCTAATACTTCATCATTAGGAAAGCTTAATAAATTCGAACCTTGGAGTATGCGGCAGTAACGTAAGCACCTGCTGCGCTCTCTACGAGAACATTATACCGTTAGTCCGACAAAAATTCATCCGCTCATTTCGATAATCACAGACTGTCTTTCGCGTGCCGGCGAACGTCTAGATTTTCCACGGTCCGCCGCCTCTCTGCGCGGGGAAAAATAACGAAATTCACCGCGGTGAAAGTAAAAAGAAAAAACAATTTCTGTCATTATACTGTATACCCACGTGGTTTGCTACGCGAGTCACGTATGTTTTTATTGTCAGCAACGATCTTCGAAAAGGCGATGATTAATCTGCTCGGTTCGATGTGCTTACGAATTTTTCGTGATGCTTCGAGATAGGAGGTGTCCTTGATGATGAAGGTCGATTGAGAGAATTAAACGCCAATTTATTGATGATTGGTCTGTGATCAACAAGCACCGCCTCAATCTCTTCAATACTTCACAAGTAGCGGATCAATCGAGATATGCTTAGGTTTATGATATGGGCAAAAAAAGTCATAAGACGGAGCTTAGATTGTCCTATTTATCAACTGTACGGGCATCTTGAAATGCTGTTCGCTTGGAAAAGTCGCTTTCATACATTTTAATCACTGGGCAAACGGGATTCTTGTACATTTTTATAACATTGGATTGAGATCAGAGCGTGATTTAATCTCAAATTCAATATTAAAACACGTAGAACTTAGTTAAATTCAAGCGGGAATACTCGCGATAGAAAGGAAAGGCCTAGAAAAATTATGGAATGGCACGCTTGATTTCTAAACGGTGCAATGTACGGAGTATACGATTTCGGTAATTTTGGCATTGAAGGAAAACCTAAACTTATCTTTTATGGTTAGACTTTCTCCTTGGAGGTTGTTACAATATTTACCTCTGTAGTATGTTGTCGAAATTATACAGCTACTTGCATTCGGAATGGTATATTTTACATTTTTTTTGCGCTTTGCGAAGCGAGCATTTGCGGTTACTGGGGGGGGGGGGGGAGCAATTAATCATGTTTTCTAATTTTCTAAATAAATACACAGATTTTTAACGTGGACTTTGTAATTAGATTGCCACATAAACAGCTTTCAATTTACAAAACTAACCTTCGAAACGTACATTTCCATACGTGAAAACTCGCAAGCTGTCGTAAACCGAGTCACGAGCCGAAGGTACAGTCCCGTCAGCTCGTAATTAATAAATTGTCCTAATTAAATCGATCCATCCGCGCAGCCGTAGCCCGCCGTCACTCATTAACGCGAAAAAGAAAAAGAAAAAACAATAAACCCGACGGTGAGACGTACGCGAGCTAGATCGATCGCTCGCGCCGGGGGGCCGACCTAGACCTTGAACGCGGACGCGCCTATAAGCGCAGTTGCGTCGCGGCCCGCCGCCTCTTTCCTCCCTTCGCCCCGCGTCGCGCGCGACGCACTCGAACGCCCGTGGCATTTAAGATAATCGCGCCTCGTACACGCGCGACGAAATAGTTTCGGGTGCTCTATGGATCTTCGCCGCGCGTAGAGTAGAGCCGTCGGCCGGCGCGCAGCGCAACACGTCTACGTCAGAGAATCGCGTCGCGACGTATCGACTACAGTCCGCTACCGAGTGGGTAAGGAAACAGAAGAAGAAGAAGAAGAAGAAGAAAATGGTAATCTAGTTATCGAGATAGGCGCGCGTCGATTGGCATTATACAGTTTGAAAAAAAAACATGCACACAGAATAAGAGACAACTGTTGGCCCCGACTTAATTGAAAAAGCTTGCCTCTTGCGTTTTTCAGATACAAGCCAACGAGATTATGGGGATTCAGCGGACACGTGCAAACAATTGTCCACAGTATAATTGGAAGAGTGCGCTGCCCGTGGCCTATCGGTGAGCGAGTCTACATTTCTTTGCCTGACGAGACGACGCTCACTTACGATTTGTATCAGCCCTTGAGCACCGGACACGAAGGTAAATTGGGACGCATCAGCTGAAATGATAGACGGACAACCGTGGATTATCCGCTGATATTATTAAAAAAAAATGAGGTTGTTTCGCGTCGAATAATTTTGTGAAAGTATACCAAAACGACGGCAGACGTCGAGGCGTTATCGTTGTACGTTTTTTTTTTTATATTACTTCTGGATAGTTGTTGATTTGTCAGGATGCTAAGAAATTCCTTTGCCCTTCCTGATATCTGTAAATTTTCATGAAATCTGAACCGCGAAACCGTGCAAAAACTAGTCGCAGCGGCCAATTAATGTCCGCGGCATTCGGAACAGGCGGATTAGCATGTCCAATGGACGACGGTGTGCATGGATACGTTATGTGATGATTTTGCATTGCAGATGACGTGACAATAGCCATTTGTCCTGGAATCGGAAACAGCTCGGAGAGCGTCTATATCAGGACGTTCGTGCACTTCGTGCAATGTCACGGCTACAGGTGCGCGGTTCTCAACCACGTTGGTGCCTTGTCTAGCGTCAAAGTCACGTCTCCAAGGATTTTCACTTACGGTACTTTTTCTTATTACTATCTTGTTCTGGCAGAGAAACTCCAGGAAATATTTGAATTTTTTCATCAAAACATCGCACGGTATAATGTGGTTAGAAAAATCGATAAAAATTCTTCGATTATTATCAGGCCACACGGACGACTATCACACCATGATCAAGAACCTGCTAGAGAAACACTCAAGCACAAAAATCGTATGCGTTGGATTTAGTCTGGGCGGTAACTTGGTTACCAAATACATGGGCGAGCATGGCATCAATAAGCTTCCTAATATCATTGGGGGCATTTCGATTTGCCAAGGCTACAATGCCATCGAGTAAGCTGCTTCTCCAAATTCCTTTTTATTCCCTCGAAGCTTATGATAAAACATATTAATATTGTTTTTCTGCTTAATTTTTAGGGGCACAAATTATTTGTTGAACTGGACTAACTTCAGACGCTTCTACCTCTACGTGATGACGGAGTCGGTGAAGAATATTATTTTAAGGCATAAGTCCGTTTTACTATCAGAAGATGTCAAGCAAAGGTATAATCTTAACGAAAAGGACATAGTTTCTGCAGCTACATTACCTGAATTAGACGAAGCTTATACGAGAAGAGTAAGTTTCGTAATATTGTCATAGATACTTATATGACATTGGTAAATTTCGGATTTAATAATTGTGATTTCTTTTTCTTCTAGGTTCATAAATTTAAATCAGTCAAAGAACTGTATGAATGGAGCAGTTGTGCATTTTACCTAACAAACATTGCAGCTCCAATGGTGTTTATCAATGCTGTTGACGATCCTATAGTTCCAGATAAATTGCTTTCACCAATTAAAGAGTTAGCAAGTAAGTTTTTCATTGTACACTATAATACCATTATATAATATTTCTTTTACATTATTACAACTTGTAATTTCGATAAGTAAAATATCTAACTTTTTTCTTATTTCAGCAACAAAAAATAATACTCTATATATTGAGTTAGCACACGGCGGACACTTGGGCTTCTACGAGGGTGGACTTCTTTACCCGAATCCCATCACATGGTTAGATCGCACTCTTGTCGCACTCGTCGGTTCGTTGACTCTAGCGAATTCTGATCGCGCCCTCAAGGCCTTCTAAAACACGACTGCGGATTGATGTATTTTTTGCCTGTTTCTCGTGCTGTAGAGCATGGAGTATACTTTTGCATTTAAATATGTATGCACAAGAACTCGGTAAAAATCTCATTTTCTCGTAGCAGGGCTTTTTGTACTATGAGATTTTTTGAAGCACTTTACCGAGGCAAACAAGAATACGTGTGCAGATAATTTTTAAAAAAGAAAAAGGAAAAACGCTCAAGCGTCCACTATGCGCTTTAGAATGTTATATTTAAAATCGTATGCGTGTTTTTTGTCAGTATTTTGGGATGCACATCAAGTGTTAGGAGAAAAAATATTTTTAAGCGTTTGATGGTTGTACTACTTTCGAGACGCTAATCATTTCGCTAGCGAGATGATATATTAGCGATTGCTGTGTGCCACAATTGTTAATGTGTATGTTGAGCGAAATTTTTAACGTGTCTGCTTGTGATTTTTTCAGAGTGTTTCTTAATAATTTGGCAGCGGTGTTTCACAATGTCAGGAATAAAATTTAGAAAAATTTAAACACAAAAATAATAAAATTTAACTAATGACTAATAATAAATTGCTTTATACAGTAATAAAAATGACATACATTTGTAAGTATTTAATACCTGGCAAAGTGAGACTTCAAAGTTTTCAAGTTTATCTGTTGTGATTGTATCTGCGCTTGCGTACTTACAGAAGCATAGATAAAATGTCAGCGATACGATATAACTATTACTTTGTATGTATTGTACACATGTAATTTTTTTGATGTTGAACTATAGTCATGTAAGATGATGAATTATTCGCAAACCATTCCCCCATGGTGCTTTTTCGATTGGTAATTTATATTATAGGTTAGCTGAATGGTCCATGGATCGATAAATTATGTATGAGGATCAATGGTAGATCTAAAATCTCCGTTAAAAATATTGCTAAATTAACCCTAAACAAATTGCGAATCACGAGGAAAAATTGATGTTCAATGTTTAAATGTGCAGAACTTTTTGAATTAGCGTTGAAGTTTTAAAACTGATGTGTTGACGTTTCGCAGTTTTTAAACTGAAATCGAAACTATTCAAGAGATCTTTAACAGTTACGGAAGATAAAATTTCTCTCAGGGTACTTTGTAAAACTTATTAATACATTAAATTATTTGTTCGGTAAAAGTATATATTTTTTCAAGATACGAAAAAAAAAATTAATAAGTTAAAGCGAGCCTGCGGCTGGCTATAGTGAACGGGATATAATTACGTTACGAATACATGATGGACAATATTAAGCGAGCAGAGTTTAAGATTATTGAATTCAATGACATATGCATTCAGATGATGGATCGTTGATGGATTATTTAATAAATTTTATATTCAGAATTCAATTTGCTTTCAAATAGTATTTTATTCTTCTAAATTTCATCAAATGGATGATTTATTTGCGTTAATTGATTTGACTCTGATTTCTTAAGTACTGGTATCTTAAGAGTGAATGATAGATCCACAAAATGCAAACCTTAGTTTTTGCATAGATTTTATTTAACTTGTAGCGACAACGACGGCGACGCAGTTTTATGCGTATAAGTCATAGTTTTCGCAATTTATTACGAGTAAAGCACCTTTAGTTTGTTTTCTGTTCATTTAAATTGCGTAGCTTGACGAAAGTGAAAATCGTGTGATTTTCACATAGTGTAACTTTTTATGTTTGTAGGGGAAAAAAGCAACCAAAGGTCTGATGAAGCCTTGTATGATAAAAATAATTTATATATTTATATGCCAGTATAGAGAGTTAAATAAAATTTTGTATTGTTTGATATTTTCAATGAAAAAAAAAGTTCAGATGGCTCAAACGCCAGGGATCATTTCTTTAAACGCAGCAATAAGCTCTATATGGTGTATATTTTTCAAAATTATTACGTTGCGAGAACATACAAAAAAAGTAACTTCCAATTGTTACATTAAATGTTCAGGATCAATGTATTTAGTGAGCGTCAATTACGTTTATTGGATACACGCGAACAACATGTACACATGAATTTTTTTAACTGTGCTCACGTACAATATCAAGTCACAGTTCGATTTGCTTCAATGTTTGTTCACTTTGACGAGCATTCTTGCTTGTAACGTCAACCATTCACAAATATTTTTAAGCGAATAAAGAAACAATGGCGGATAAAAATGAATCACATTGTTTTTTCATTTCAACATTTTCCTATCTTTCATTATTTCTTTATTTTTATATCACAATTTTCACAAAATATGATAGATAAAAATTTATTTGAAAATTAGTTATTTTTAAAAGGAAGCATTCAACGAAGTAATGGCTTATAAAATTTATCAATATTTTTATCAAAAAGATAGATACGTAATGTAATGACGTGTAAAAAAGTTGAACTGATTTTAGCTTAACATACTATTTAGTTTTACAAAATTAAAATCGACAGAAATATATAACCATGTAGCTTAATAAATATATACTAAATATTAAAACATGATGCATTTTAATTCATTATCATAGCTATAGTAGTATTTGAAAAATTAGTAGAAAAATATTGATTTATAAGTTTCAAATTTTTCTAGAATTAAAATTCTTCTTTTGCTTAAAAAGTTTGAATACTACTCTCCGAGTCCATAAAAATAAACCAAATTATTATGTTAATATATATGATCACTAAATTAATTACTACAGTGTGCTAGGAATTGGAAATTTCGCGTTATGAGAAATATTAAAAATAAAGGTATACGAAATGTAACATATTACAATTAAAGAGCCAAATCGAAAAACCACTTTCGCGCTCGAGTCGCTCTTAAAGTATATAAAATATGTAAAGTATGTCTAGAAATATTTTCGGAGGTACGAAAGATTAAACTAGTCTAACTATCGTGGAAAAAAAAAAGAAATCTATCACTGAGCATGCCATACATATATTCTTAGGTATCTTAATTTGCGAAACATGAATTGGATTCCGCTTCAAAAATTCTCTATCCTCTATTTTTTTTTTTTAAATGGCAACGCGCGATAACCTAGTTTTTTGTTGTATTGATGAATTTTTACAATATGAAAAAATCAAAGACATACAGGGAACTTGTGATGTCGGGTTCGCGTTTAGCTGTAAAATATTTTAAAAAAATTTGATATTTAAACATGAAATTTGTTTGCAGTAGATAAAAAAAACGTTTAATAAGTTTTATCAATAACTGACCATTATGAATTTTCTATTTCTTATTTATAAAATTCTATATATTTTTATGTATTATTTATCTGTAAAGAAAAAATTGAAATGTATAATCAGTGTACGGTAATAATTGTCAATAGGCTCTTATACTTGCACTTGCAAAAACTCAGTAAAATTTTTCAACAAGACAGTCGTCTCTCGCATAAGCTGTAACACAATTACGTAAAAATGAACGTTATATAAGTAGTTGGCGTTAGGGTCCAAAAAAACAATCACTGAGAAGTGTGAATTATTATATGTTGTATCGGATAACGTCGGCTGTACTAGATAAAAGAAATTTTGCAATATAAGCGAGATAAAGATGAAGAAAGATATAAATTATGAAATCTATGTTGCACGATCCCACATATTATGATCTAGGCTATTGACGCCCATAAGCTTGTTTTCGGCAAGCGATTACGAAGTAATAAATATTTGTTAATAGCCCGTAGAAAAAGAAGAGAACGCGAAAATTCCCACTAGGGCAAAACAAATTACGTTGATATCTCGTGTTCACCGCCGTTATCTCTGAACTTATATACTGGCCAACTTCTTTCTGACGTCTCATTCGTCAACACGCAAATCTAAAGGCAACATCGTATGTTTTTAAGCTACCACGATTATTAGTATTATAGGGAATGTAAAACGTTGAGAGCATTACAAGTCAACATCTGCAAGAGTTTAAATTCTTTCGTCACTTTTCAATGTTGTAACAGCTGATATGAATGCTCATTTAAGAAACTGCTGAAAGACAATGGTGAGCGATTGCCTATTAAAGACACAACAGGCTTATCGAACGAAAAAGCAGTTGCAAAGAGAATTAATATCTTAATAGAGTGTATTTGTCTAATTCGAAGTTTTGTATTATAATTAAGTATTTCATCACTGTGGACAGTCCGCAATAAACGTATTTGAAACGTTATTTAAAAGCAATAAATTTAATTCAATCGCAATGGTATATCGCGTACTTTATTTTTGTATTTCATTTCCGTCACCGATATAATCTATATAATTGCAAATCTTGTCTAAGGTATTGTATCTTTTCTCCATTTATCACAGATATTGAATAAAAACTATTAGAAAGTAAAGAAGAAACAGTTCACGCAATCTATCAGCTGTATTCTGACGAACTTCATTGTTGTAAAAGTTCACTCGTAGTAAACAGTCATCATGGATTTTCATTCAAAAGTGTTTGCGAAGTTAGTGTTTTGTGCTTGGCTACTTATAAATCATAGTGGGGGTCATCCCATCAGTTGTAAATATCTTAATTTACGACAACAACTTATTAAAGAAGAAGAGCAATTAAGTTTTGGTGCAAATATTACATTACTTGGAGATGAAATAGCTGCTAATGAATGCGTAATGCGCATCAAGAAGAACGAAGTGAACGAAGGTAAGATGTTCGTATTGATTCTTTTTATTCGAAGTTGTTTAAAAAAAGATAAATTAAAACTACATAGCAAAAAAAATAAATACTGTTGAGACTGACAACAGCGAAAATACTATATTCTCTTAAGATACTTGTAATGATTATAGATAAATTTCGATGTATGCGTTATATGCTCTATAAATTTTTTTCTTTCAATTTAAAAAATGTAACTATCACAGCTTTCAACAACCCTGAAAAATTTCTCCCTGCGAAAAATTTCATGGAAGCTCGCAGAGACATCGAAAAGTCCGACGTCTTCAAGATTCTCTGGAAAATGCCTAAAGGCGGGGTTTTTCATGCTCATAGTACAGCTATCGCCGATTTGGATTATCTAGTCTACAACGTGACCCGATTACCGAACCTTTACGTTTGCTCGAAAGACGAAGACGATTATCGATTTAAATTTTTTGAAAATCCAGATGACAGCTGCGATTGGGTGCTTTTGAAACACCTCGAAGACGCGAATTCTTACGTGGAAGAGAACATTAGAAATTATAATTTGAAAATCAAATCGAAGTATGACAATAGCGATGAGGCTTGGAAAATCTTTAACAAAATTTACGAAACATTGAGAGGAATCGTTAAATATAGGTGCGAATGCATTCGGCATTTGAAATATTTGCATATTGTTTTCTTCATAAATTCAACTATTTTTGCAGGCCTGTTTTTGAAGAATACTTTTACAAGGCTTTGCAAAAGTTGTATGACGACAACGTCATGTTCATGGAAATGCGTACTTCTTTGGGGATGATGTACGAGCTCAATGGAACCAAGCATGAACCGTTAGATATTATAAGAATTTACAAAGAAGTATCCGACAGGTGCGTCAACGACAGTTGAATTAAATTTCTTCCAAGTATTTTCAGCAGAAATTCATGCTCTTTTCGTTCGACAGATTCATACAAAGCCATCCAGATTTCTTGGGTATCAAAATAATTTTCGCGCCGAAGAGGAGATCAACCCCGAAGAAATTCAGTGCCGCAATCGAAATATTCAAAAAAGTAAAAGCTGCCTATCCAGATCTCGTTGTTGGATTCGACCTAGTGGGACAGGAAGACAAAGGCCATCCTCTTCTAGAATTCGCAAATGAATTGCAAGAACTCAGTAATATTACGAGCTTCTACTTCCATGCTGGTGAAACGAACTGGTACGGCACAAGCTCGGACTACAATTTGTACGATGCAATTCTCCTCAATACTAAGAGAATCGGACACGGGTAATTTATTGGTGTTATTTAATTATGAACGCAAATTTTAATTCCGCATTTTTTGTAGATATGCCTTGCTAAAGCATCCAAAACTTATGGAAATAGTGAAGAAAAGAAACATCGCCATAGAATTGAACCCAATCTCTAATCAAATTTTACACCTGCTGCAAGACATGAGAAACCATCCAGCGAGCTACTTTTTCGCCGAGAATTTTCCGGTGGTGGTGTCGAACGACGATCCAAGCTATTGGGACGCACAAGGCCTGAGCTACGACTTTTACGAGACCTTTGTCGGCATAATGTCACGGGAGGCTGACTTGAGGGCACTCAAACAACTGGCAATCAATTCGATCGTCTATAGCAGCTTAAATGCCGACGAGCAAAAACGAGCTTTTCAAATTTTTGACAACTCCTGGCGGACCTTCGTCGCCAATTTAATTGACAGTCCAATGTGCAATCGTTAATCGTCATAGATTTTTAGACGTACTTTTATTTTAGATAATACTATAATTTTTATTTTTATTTTAAACTAAAGTGATATTAACTGTTACGTAAGAGTTTTATTCGTAATTGACATTCGTAATTGTTGGAACAGGACTTTTCTTATTCGGTTTTTTAAGTGAAATTACTGCGTAATGTAATTTTTCGAAGCATTTCATTTTGCACTTTTTTAATTTATACGATTACATGCGATGATTATAGGTACTGTTATACACATTTATATTTAATATTCACCATAGCATAAAACAGCTAAACCCGTAGTAATGTATACATTTTATAAAAAAAATCTGTGTACCAAGCGTTCGTACTACTGAAAACTAGTAGTCACAAAATGTCATTGTCACGTCACCGTCATGTTTTCGAGTGTATCGCGTTATTCAAGTAATTAATCGTGCTCAGCAGAATTTATATAGAACGAAAATTGCGGAGCCTCGCGGCAGTTTGACTGTCGGCAGTTGATTTGCGAACACTTCAAAGTCGAGGCTACAATAGTGTACTCATACTGGCATTGTTATACAAGTATTTTCATTTAGATAATTATATATTTGCTCTGCTACTTATCAAATCAAAAGCATTCGAGAATTTTTTTATAATCTTATGTCAATCCAGCAGATAAAATTGGGCAGAGGATGAGAAAAGGGACTTAACTTTGTATCGTATTGAAAAACGTATCACCGTTCGATGAATTTTCATTTCGATTGTTGAAAAATGCTGTTCGTTTTTGCATTGCTGTGCTCTCTGATTCATTTTTCAAGTTGCGACATAAGCGATAATGACGTTTTCACGGATTATCTCGAGGAAAGACAAAATATTATCGATGCAGAGCAATCGGCGGCGTTCGGTTCGAAAATCATTCTGAGCGACAGAGAACGGCTTGCAAATAAAATTTTGACGAAGTACAAGCACGAAGAACTGGAAAGAGGTTTGTTTTCTTGTCCGAATTGCATCGTCAAAATGTTTAAATTCAACAGTGTACCGTATCAGCAGCATTCGATGACTCGGCAATCTTTCCACCGTCGAAGAATTTTTTACGAGTGAGCGGCGACATCGAGCAGTCTAAAGTCTACCGAACAATACGCAAAATGCCGAAGGGCGGCGTATTGCACGCGCACATATTGGCCATCAGCTCGCGTGACTTCATCCTCGAGAACGTCACTCGCCGGTCAAACTTGTACATGTGTCGTCACTGGAGCTCATTGCAACTGAAATTTTTCGATGAGAAAGGTGCGGCCAATCAAAGCGACTGCAATTGGGAATTGCTCGCGCGAGCGCGCACGAGAGATAAATCAATTGACAATGAGATTGCCGAGGCCCTGAGTATGTACTACGTGGCTGAGAAAGACGTCGATGACACTTGGCAAAAGTTTTCGAGCATTTTTCATTTTGTCAAGTCGTTGATCACATATCGGTATGAATCTATCGACGGAATGTGAATTTATCGCTTAAAGATGTTTCACAGTGGTAATTCTTATTTTTTTTTTGGGTAGACCTGTTTACGAAGATTTTCTGTACCACACAATGGAAGAACTTTACGATGACAATGTCCAGTTTATGGAGATTCGTACGTCTTTTACCACTTTGTACGAACTTGATGGTTATCAACATAACTACCTTCGTGTCGCTGAAATCGACAACAAAGTGGTCGAGCGGTACGTATATTAATAGTAACTATCCGCAAGAAGGCCAACGTCATCGACCTATCATTCGCGATAGATTTATGAAACGCCATCCGGATTTCTTGGGTGCCAAGTGGATCTACTCCCCTCGGAGAAGCATTCGACGCTTAACATTCGTCGAGCATATCGAGAGATTTCGCAATCTCAAACGAATGCATCCCGACCGCATAGTTGGATTCGATCTCGTCGGCCAGGAAGATAAAGGCCCCCCATTGTTACACTTCGCCGAGGAACTGCTGGACCTTCGCAACGAGACGAATTTTTACTTTCACGCCGGGGAGACTAATTGGTCTGGGCAGGAGACCGACGAGAACCTCATCGATGCTGTTTTGCTCAACGCTAAGAGGATTGGACACGGGTAGGTTACTTGACATTTGCCGTGGCTATGCGACTCGGACGTTAATTGCTGAACAAACAATCGAACACGGCTCAGCCGTGGGAATGGTGAGCGATCAGTTTCGCGGCGATTGCTGGACAAATCGATTTTCGAATGACTGAAGCAACCAACGTCACTTTTAGTTACACGCTGATCAAACACCCAAAGCTGATGGAGATGATCAGGAGAAGGGACGTGGGCATCGAAATCTGTCCAATATCAAATCAAGTATTGAAGCTCGTCAGAGATCTGCGAAACCATCCGGCGAGTTTCTTCTTCGCGGAGAACATGCCGGTAGTGGTGTCGAACGATGACCCCGGCTTCTGGGGCGCGAGAGCGCTCAGCCACGACTTCTACGAGGCTTTCGTCGGTATCATGTCGAGCAGGGCTGATTTGCGCGCGCTCAAGCAACTTGCCATTAATTCCATCTCATACAGTAGCTTAAACGATTCCGAGCGAAAGTTTGTTCTACGTGTCTGGGAAAGACGATGGCGTGATTTTATTTCCGACGTTGTATCGCACGGCTAGACGTTTTTCACTGTTCGCGGGTTTCGCTTGTTTCATTGCTCTGTGACAATTATTTATTTATTTTTTTTTATGAAATAGTTAATATACTGTGTTGAATTATATTTGAAATGCCGCAATGCAGAATTTATTATCACCAACCTGTAGGTAACCTCAACATCTTGAGAGTATAAACGTTACGTATGGTGATGAATTTTCATGCATGGTTTCACTGTCGATTTAAATAATTAATGAGTCGAGCATAATTATAAGCACAATAAAGAATTAACGATTTCGCTTTATTAAAGAAATACTTGAATGTATGCAGTTTATCGATGTTTCGGGCTATAGATAATCAAAAACATCATACGATGGTTTATTTTGAAGCTGCTTTCGGATGCTTCAAAACAAGATTTCACGATTTTAAAATTCTAAATATATAAACCAATTACATTACTTCAACAATTTATTTAAAAAATAATTATAAGACTGTTTTAACTGACAAATCTTATTCAATACCATTTTTCACCTATTTTTTAACATTTCCAAATGTATGAACTAAGATATTTTTTATTCCATTAAATATCTTATCAATCGACAGAATGCACAAACAGATATCATCAAAATATAATTTTATAGTCTCATGACTTATAAAAAAAATTTATTGAAAAACCTTTCTCTAATCACATATAAGACGTTTAGATCTATCAAAAACTTACAATTCAACTATATCATGACAAAACCAAGCAAACTTGTTCGTTACGAAATGGATAATAATTTTTCATGTCTAGATTATAGCATGTTACCTTATTGTAAAAATAGTTGGCGATTTAAACGATGAAACTGCTAATAAAGCATTGAAAATTGCTTCGTCGAGATAAATAATTTCGCGCTTCGGACTCAGGAGGTTCAGAAACGGTAAACTCATGACTCCTACAGTAGTATATATATATGTTATATGTGCATGTCAGAAGAATCCACTTAATGGTAAAGTTGCATATATATATATATATATATAACCAATATCAGTACCAAAGTATATATAAAAACCACTGATCAAACGGTAGGATCGTGTAATTTACAATTGATTATTAATTTTTAACAGAAAAGTTTTCAAACGAGTGTACAATCAATGTATGTAAAGTATTAATTACCGTCACGATCACTTTCAGCAATACATTATTTCTAATTTCGGTGTTCACATAAGGCCATAGTGTAATAATTGCCTTTAAGAATTATCATTACCTGTTGGGTAGTTTTAGTGTACAGAGAAACATTGTTTCAATAGTTCCTGCATCAATGCATACAATCTAAGTTTATCGTAGATAAATAAAATAATCCTATTATATAATATATTTTTCTGCAACTAATATTTTTCAAGCCATTTGAAACAGATTAAAGTGTTATAATATTCCCATTCTATCTATTGTGAGGAATATAAAATATAAAAGCGAAGTGCCTTAAATTAGTTGACAAAAAGTCGATACCAATAACAACGTGTACAACGAATTTTTATCATTTTTTTATGCACGCATACGCACACACACGGGCGCGCGCACACACACTAACGCGCGTACAAATGCAAAGATAGTCAATACTTTCATTTTTTTTAATGCTTTTTCTGTTATTGACATTTTTGGATCCACACACGCGAACGGTTAACTTGAAACCTCGTTATATGGCCTTGCTTGTAATGGAATTAGTTCAGTTAATCAGCCGTCGTACTATTTATTATAATGTAAACATCAATGTCAAATATTTGCAAATTATTGGAGCAATGGCCTGAAAAACCATATTTATAGGTGTAAAAAAAATACAAGAATAGCTTCGATCAATAGCAAAATATTATTACGAAGAACAATTACATGAAACAGTAATAGAGTGGCAGAATTGTCTACTCTATCGTAATGGACGTACTGATGTTGATTATACTGTAAATTACTCATTAATGAGAGGAAAAAATTAGCGTACTTGAATTCAGAATCTGTAAATTTCAACAATGTTGAAATAATGAAGCAGTTGAATGTTAACTATAAAAAAGAGAGTTAATTATTATCAAATACTTATATACCTTCATGGCCATATTCTTACGATGTGCAAATGCAAAATACAATGTATCTTTGTGTTATTATAATGGCAAATATTCAGTCAAACTATCAACTAGACCGAGGCACTTGAAATGTGGAAAATAATTTTTTAAACATAAAAAAAAAATTGTTTTTATAATTATATTCTATTGAATTTTTTATCTTTTTCAGTTTGATAGTAATAAAAAATGAATGAATTGACTGAAACGCACAAAACTTCGTCCTGTTGTTCGAAATTATTTGTAATGAACGCTAGGCTTTGTATCTTGAAATTCACGAGTTATCAACCATCGGTCATCTTAGCTCGTTCGTCAACCTACGCCGCTTATTTAAACATATTTTCTATTTCTTTTCTGTAATTTACTTTTTATTCAAGTTTACTGATTGGAATACTGATCCTTGTATGAGTTATTTTTTCAGATTTTCTTAATCGTTACCAGTTGATATTAATGTAAGACTTCATTAATTTCAAAATTATTGGTATCATCGATTTTTCAAATGAAATTCAATTGTTCCTAATTATACATTTCCTACAGAGATTCATCGAAACAACGATGAGCCTCCGTCAATCAATTTGTACGTCGTGAATCTTTCCATTCGCGTTTACTTACTAGATATACAAAAAACTGCATGAAAACGCGCATCAAGGCAGAAGAAGCATCTACGATTGCAAAATCAAAGAGTCAAACAAGAAAATGCGGCCGCAAGGCCCGGCTCATTAAATCGGTTGAAGTCGACAGCAGAAGAAGGCGCACTAATCACGGTTATCACGGGCGGAATCTAAAAATAAGGATCGAGGAGTCAGCTGTGCGCGAGCGAGTGTCGTGGGAGAGGTCAACGTGCCCACGTCGACAGGCATAGACAGAGAGAGAGAGAGGGAGAGAGAGAGAGAGAGAGAGAGAGAGAGAGAGAGAGAGAGAGAGAGAGAGAGAGAGAGAGAGAGAGAGAGAGAGAGAGAGAGAGAGAGAGAGAGAGAGAGAGAGAGAGAGAGAGAGAGACGTTTCTCGCGCGCATGTGCCCGATTTAGCAGCCGCGGTCGCTTCACCTGGCGCAGTAGAGTAGCGCCCGCCGCGGCCGTGAGAGCTTTTCCTAACCCCCTTCGCTCGCTTCGCGCCTGGTGTGCGCCTTCTGCGTCGTGCAGTGCGAACGGAGTGCACGCTCGAGATCGTCCGTCCGCAGCCGAACGCACGGCAGCTCGGCGATGCTTCGCGAGACGCTGTTTCGCGCTGCAAAGAGGATCCTGAGACCCAGCAGGACGAGCGCAAGGCGCTTTCACCAGTGCTGGGAGGTATTGATTTTCGAGGGCGCTCGACGTGATTTCGCTCGGGGGGATCTCCACGATGGTCTCGAGCCTCCGCGAGCACGAGATTCCAGTTATCCTTGACAGGATCGTCGAATCCATGCAGTTTGCTGTGCTACTCGGCGTTGAATCATAAGTGTTTCTGTGACGAAAAAGGATTCCAAGTCCAACGTCCCAGTCGCAATGTGGATTTGGACTTTAACTGACTCTGCGAGCAATTGTCACGCGACCGAAGGAGCCGCTGGAGAACTAATGCATCGTCATGTTATTCGTCAAGATACATTTTGGGCAACTCGTTACGTCATTTTCACACGCCTACGACAGATTCTCTTGGCAGTTCATTCATTAGACGAGACTCGCTGCCATGTCGTTTGTCAATCGAACCAATCAATTGTTTTCCAGCGAGGACCCCCCCCCCCCCCCCCCTCCCCGATACGAACGCGAAGCATCTGACATAACCAAGAAACGCCGTGGGCCGCCGGACGAGAAAAGAACGCGACGATTGATTTTCATACGTGGAAACTCGGCGAGCGAGCGTTCGCAAGCTGTCCTCCCACGTGGGAGCGATGACAGTGGCTCGCGGTTTCGGCGGCACGAAAATAATTTCGAAGCCGCGCGCGCGCTCGCGCCTCGCCGAGGCTCTCCACTCCTCCTTCTTCTTCTTCTTTTTCTCTTCCTTTCTTCGATTCAGCGACGAACGCGCAAATCCGCGTACGCACGCGTGAGGTTTCCGCTTAGGGGTTGAAATGGTCGCGGGAGATCGATAAGCGCGGCTCCTCGTGCGGTTCGACGAAAGGCTCTTGCACGCGCTCTTTGATTTGTCCGCTAACGAAAGTCGTCTTTGCATTTTTATTGGTTCGATTTTTTTTTTTTTTTTTTCAGAGACGATGTGAGGTTTTTTTTATAAAACACGCGATAATTATTTCAATGTTGGCATTGAAATTACAATGAAAAGCGATCGGTATCGAGTCGAAAATACTACGTAGATGATTTCAAATTGTTCCCGATGACTATTTTAATATTATTTTGTAAAACGAGTGGAATAAAAGAACGAGTTGCACATCAACTTGGCACATAAACTTTCAATGCATGTTCGTTATTGCGTAATAGAAATAGATGCGTGTACCTTTCAAATTCCATTGGCATCGCGTCCGTTTTTGTTCGATAAAAAATCGATTGTTATTTCACTTTTTACATTTATCATTTCGCAGAGACGCGCCGCAGTGCCAAGATCAACGAGGCTCGGCTCGGCAAGATACTTAGACGCCTCATACGGAAGTGCCTTGGAGCTCGAGTCGATACAGACACGGTAATAAACAAACGCATTTTCTTCCGAAAAAAACATCGAAATAATACGTGAAAAACAAAATGACACGATAGTTTGGCGATACACTAGAAACTGGCAGCACACCAATCAAATATACGTACCAGTAACGTTGAGTAAATATACCGCACTAACAGTCACACCCCCTAAGAACTTTGTTCCCGACTTACCTTCACTCCTCAATCAAGATCGATTTCGTAGTAACTAGGACGAGATAACTGCTTAACATCACGTGAAATATTCTCCTTTACCAGGAATAAAAAAATTTTCATTTTCAATTACTGTTTTTTTTTACATACATATATGAAATAATATTAGCAGTAATGATTGAATGTCTGCAACCTATTCGAAACAGAAGTGACTTCAGTGTTAATAGCACTGATAAGCTGTAATCCATTAGAAATATAAACTGAGTGACTATTTTCACTAGTGTGTACGTAAAAAAAAAACAACTCTGATCTGGTCGATCTGCGGAAAGCTCGCGTTGCGGTTCTAATGAAGCAAAATTCCCGACTCCTAAATTACGCAAAAATAGATCAAGTTGGCGTCGTAGCCAATTCGAAGAAAAGAAACGGTAGATTAATGGCTTCTGCAGTTGCGTTCGTAATCAGACCTTGTCTATCAAGTTTCGCCTTCAGTTCGATGTATTTAAGAATTGAAAAACTACTTTTTGACTTGTCGTCGGCGAGCAGATATTTGAAAATAAATGTCATTGAATGGTCGATGAACTTTAATGTTGCACGGCGATGGAGATTCTTGTACGCGCTAATGAAACCCATTTGTGAAATGCACGGTAAAGACTATTATTGATGTGGGTTTGAAATTCGTAGCAATTGATCGAGTTAAATAAATATTATTAGCGCGGATAGTTCCATAGACGATCGACTGCACTTGCTCTCTCCCTGGAATGTTATTAATGTAGACGAAGCGAAGCATTCCACCAATGTACCCCATACGTCGCTCGAAGACGTCTCGGCATTGTTAGATAACAGCATCAGTAGCAAACGGTGCTGGACGAAGAAAAGTACAGAACTGGTTGAAACTGAACGAACTGCAATTACAAGCGCAACGTTTACGGCCAATAAAGCTCCACTTGATACTCGGGAATCCAAGATCGCGCCGCGAGTATTTTTGCATAGACGCGCTTCTCGTTAGCGTCAGTCTTGAGCGCGCATCCGAAACCGAGAGGAGTATGGACGACTTTGACGTGTGCAGCAACTATCGCGGTGTCAGGCTCAGCGCTATCAAAGCGGAGGAGTCTCGCGACGAGACGGATCGAGCACTCGACCGGTATTGAATTTTGCGAAACGATACGCGAAGCGTCAATTCACTGCAGATTCGCTGACTCGATGTCGCTCGCCCGAATCGATCGAATTTCATTAGTAACAATCTCAATCTTAGAGGCGACAGCTGCGTTTGCCGGCACTCACACGGAACTTTCATAACGACAAATAAGCGCGAACATTACCGAGCTCAATTAATCCCACTCGGCTGATCAAATAATTTCCCATTTGTTTTCCGTCACGCTGTACTAATGTACTAATTTCTTCTGTTCTTTACAGCGATTACAGCTTCATTCATGACAGCCATTACATGTAGTGAGTACCATGCACTTCCTTCGGCATGGAAAACAAGTCGTCTCTCTAAATTAGTAAATTACTTGAGTGAGAAAAATCTGCAAACGAACAACGTTATTTGCTTACTCGTTGAATTTCCTCAATTTCGTTGTAGATTTTCCAAATTGTTACATTCAGAAGCGATCGTAGCTCTGAACCACTGCGATGGTTAAATGCTTCGCATGCTCATAGATAAATATATAGCTTGCGATTTTCCTTGCCATTCCTAGACGCAAAATTGATCTTTTCCGCTCTGATCTGTCCTCTTTAGAACTTCGTATGCTCCGCGAGATTTATTCAGCCGTAATGAGCTAATTTAATTGAAATGTTTAGCACGCGAGATCAAGATCAAGCGTCGAACGTGGAGGACGTCATGTTCGACATGTTCAAAAACGAAGAGACTGGCTTACTTCACGTTGGAAAATTTCTGGCCGTGAGTTGTCGTTTGATCGTTGCGCGTGCTCCGGTGCTGCGAGGCAGCGTAGAAATGCATTAACGGCTTCTCGTCGAAAACAGGCGCTGAGAACGACGGGCTTGAGGAAAAATGATCCGCGTTTGCAGGAGCTCACTGACAATTTGAAAAAGGAACATATCAAAGCCGGCGGTCACGAAGGGATATCGCCTGAGACGCAAAAGCTGGACAGAGAGCAATTCAGAAGGTACGATTCGTATGTCCCGCACGCGCGATATTTCGAGCAAATGTTTAATTATCATTCAAGTGCATTTAATCGACTCTCGCGCGTGCCAACGTTCACTTCGAGTCACGAACCAATTGTTAATTGCAGAATTATCACTCCGAACATCGTACTGATATCTCGGGCGTTCAGGCATCAATTCATAATACCGGACTTCCCGGGCTTCACGAAGCACATCGAGGATTTTTATTGGAAGTGCAAGTCGAACTTGGAGGGCAAAGTGGCATCGTACATTCCCCAGCTGGCACGCATGAATCCCGAATACTGGGGTGTGTCGGTGTGTTCCATCGACGGCCAAAGGTTCAGTATCGGTGACACGACGATTCCCTTTACCCTGCAGAGTTGCAGCAAACCCCTTACCTACGCTATCGCATTGGAGAGACTGGGACCCGAGGTGGTACATCAGTATGTGGGTCAGGAGCCTTCGGGAAGGAATTTTAACGAACTGGTTCTAGACCATAATAGTGAGTTCTCTTGTACTTTGCTCGTTAATTCGACAGCTTCTAATCTTTGTTTCTAGTTTTGTCATTTTTACTTTTTTGTTACGTGAAACGTGACGTTCGTCAATTGACTTCATCTCGCTGCGCCGAGTTAGCGTAATCATCGTAATTTTCGCTCGTCTGTGTACGTGACGGCGTATTAATAATTCCCAGAATTCGAGAATATTTTGCGAGGATTATTTTCAATTTACAATAAGCCGAAGGTTTTTCTCTTAGCGCAACAATGAAAGCGTTAATGTCGCAACAAACAGAAGCAGACAAGGATAACATAAAGTATGTCGAATCACCCGTTGCTTACGCTCACTTTTGAAAGTGCATTTTTGATAATGCAGCGATGATTAGAATCCCATTTCACATTCGGGAGTTGTATCAAAATGATATCCATACAAAAACGCACGATTGACATTTCACTAATAATTTCCCCATTGCAGAGAAACCGCACAATCCTATGATCAACGCTGGCGCTATATTGGTGTGCTCCTTATTGAAAACCCTGATCAAGCCTGAAATGACATTAGCCGAGAAATTCGATTTCACGATGAACTATTTCAAGAGATTAGCTGGCGGTGAATCACTGGGCTTCAATAACGCCGTATTCTTGTCGGAGCGAGAGGCAGCCGACAGAAATTACGCCTTAGGATTTTACATGAGAGAGCACGGCTGCTATCCTGAGAAGACCAACCTGCGCGAGTGCATGGACTTCTACTTTCAGGTATTGTTTTCGGGCAAAGACGAGCGATTAGCGCGACGAGGCGTGCATAAAAAAAAAGAAATGAAAATGCTTCCAGTGTTGCTCGATGGAATCCAACTGCGAGGCGATGGCTGTGATGGCGGCGACACTCGCGAACGGCGGGATATGCCCGATAACCGAGGAAAAAGTATTGAAACCGGACAGCGTGCGAGACGTCCTGAGCTTAATGCACAGCTGCGGGATGTACGATTACAGCGGTCAATTTGCTTTCAAGGTAAATTTCCGCCGATCAATATGCAATTCAATTGGCAAAGATTGTCTTTAATATTCCTTCTTTTGCCTCCGACGAATCGAATGATACAGCGAAACTTGATACTTGGCAGTGCGCGCGAATAGATCGCGCAGCTGCCTTCTCCAGTAAACAAATTGGAAGGTTTCATTGCGATTTATGTAAGCGATACTAATGACCGGAGTGAAATGCGGGCCTTAGAAACTAGAGATACTGTTTGAGGGATTCGAACCAATCATTGGACGTTGAACACAGAGAAAAATCGTTAAACACTCAAAGTCTGATAAGACATTAAAAATGTTAGGAAATGAAATCTATAGTAAAACTGTAGCGACTAGTCTTTCACGATCGTTAATCAGAGTTACGAAGCAAAAACGTTTTTAAAAAATATCTCACACCGACGTGACCGTAGTTCAGGGCGGCGCGCTGAATCAATTATCTGAAAATGATATCGGACCTTGCGCTAGCTTCAGCTGGAGCACCTGCATAACTACCTTGGACTGGCTACTGGTAATAATCACCGTAGCTGTTGTAATAATTGCCTCTGTAATAGCTCGATCCACCAAATTCTCGTTCACGTTAGTATGGATCGTAACTCGAAATTGAGTGAGTTTTATTGTTCAACGCTTCAAATAAATTTATCATTATTTGAAATGTCGCTGAGATTTTGGATTCGCACTCAGAATACTATAGCTATAACGACTGTTGAAACATGGAAAAATGACAAATTGTTCTTCCTGCAAGAAATATCAACACTAGATAACAAGTTTGGTAATACCTTCTTTATGAATTTGTGGTTGGATTTATCCGAATGACGAACATATAGAACACATCCACGATATATTTATAGCGTTTGAGATGTAACTCGCGAATGTTTAAGTAACGTTGATTTGGTTTTATCAACAGGTCGGCATCCCCGCAAAATCAGGTGTGTCGGGCAGTCTTCTCGTCGTAATACCTAATGTGATGGGTATTTGCACATGGTCACCACCACTGGATCCATTGGGCAACTCGTGTCGAGGGGTGCAATTTTGCGAGGAGCTCGTGAACGAGTTCAATTTCCACAGATATGATAATCTGAAACACGCGACCAACAAGAAGGACCCACGAAGGCACAAATACGAGACAAAGGGTCTGTCCATTGTTAATCTGCTGTTTAGCGCGGCGAGCGGAGACGTCACGGCTATGCGCAGGTGAAATGCCGTTTACTCGAATCTCTAACTAATTGCTTGCTTGTCCGTCTTGTTATTTTCGTTTTTTTCACGTTAGCATGCTATCGTCATTTTTGGTTATCATTCATAGGTGTATATTTTTTTTCTATTCGAAAAGTGAGTAATAACGTCTAAACTATCCAAATATTTTCTTAACAAATAATCTTCATATATTTATTAATAAATTTCTATATAAATCTTCACAGAAATTGTTCCAAGATTTTTTTACGTTTCATAGATGATTTACTTTATGTATCATTCCCATTAGTGTTTTACGGATAATGAAGAGATAGAGTAGAAATGATAAGCTATAAGGTATAAATATTACTGTAAGAATCAATTCAGACAAAATATTCATAACTCGATCTGCCAACAACATGATTTTGTTATTACACTGTTAACGATTGTTGTACACATTATTTACGCAACCAAGTGTGCACGAAAGATATTAGAATAGACATCATTCAGGGGTCGCAATATAATACGCATACTGCAAGCACTGTTTTTTATACACTTTATACGTATTAATCAAAAAGACTGTTATTTTTGTTTCATATTATTATAAATTTATGTTTAGACAGTTAGATAACAGCGGATTTTGTTATTTTTGAGCTGAATTATTGTTTGGATGATGACTTTTTTTGTATCGCTACACTTGAAATACATATGCAAAATACAGTTCATCGTTTCAAAATAAATCATTCATTTTATTTTTTGAATAGAAGGCATGCTTTTATTTGTGCCTGTTCTGCTAAAATAAATCATAACAACAGTGTTGTTGAACTCTTCAATACTAACACATATATTGACACTACGTTTTACATATACTGATCCCCATGCATACGCAAAACAACCAACCCCGGTACAACAACTAAACTGCTAAGTACAGATTACGAGAGAACTTGGAGTGGTGAGTCGCCAAGATTAAGAAAAAACACGCAAACCATTTAAGCGCACACGTGAAGCTTTTGTCATGCTTTTGTCATTCCTTAAAACTACACAGAATTGCCAAGAGGAAACAAGCGACTCATCTCATTGTCTTTCGCTCTTTCTCGCGTATTTCTCTTTTTATTTCGTCGATTACAGCGCACACGCAACTCAATTGCTTATACATGTCCGTCATCGGAAATTGAAATCAGGACTGCTCGAAGCGGCCGTTGAAGCAGTTTCGCGAAAAAGCCAAAGTTCGTCGTTGGCGCTTAACGCGCATACACACACGCGCGCGCGTGCATGAGCGAACGATAGAGCGAGAAGAAAAGAAGTGGAAATAAGGCGGATCGACGTTTCAATTTTTACAGGCATCGGTTGAGTGGCATGGACATGACCCTTTCGGATTACGACGGACGCACGGCACTCCATCTGGCTGCCAGCGAAGGCCACCTGGATTGCGTTGAATTTCTCATCGAGCAGTGCGGAGTTCCCCACGATCCCAAGGACAGGTGAGATGACGTCGTACAATTTCGTTGAGAAATTTTAGGCGTGCAAGTGCTTGCCGGATGAATGAACGTATCGCCGACTGAATGAGAATTTCGATCAGCGATAATCGCAATGTCAGCCGGATTTCGAAAATGAAACATCAGTTTCATTTAATTGCTTTTTTTATTTTTTTTATCACTATACATGAAATATAATTTGTCTTCAAGTAACTTTATTAATCAATTTTACACTCTAATATAAGTCATAATTACTTATTTAACAACGTTAAAATTTTCCGTAATATACTGAATAGATTAAAATTTTAGTCCTTTACTGATGGTTTTCAACGCTGGCAAACTCCAAACTATTAAACAAACTAGGAAAAAATACGCGTCAATGTCGACTAAGATTCTAATATACAACATACGACTATGCATCGTAAGAAATGATACATAAAAGTACAATTAATTTTAATTTAAAATATTATGAAATTCGATTTCCGTCTTCATTGAAATACATTGAAATTCGTGAATATTAAACGTGCGAGGATGGGAAAGGAAATGAGTAGTAGCTAGAGTAAAGGCAATCCCATTTGAATACTTTTACACAGGAGAACAAAAGCTACCGCAATTTGAACTTCTAGATGGGGTAATCGACCGATCGACGAAGCAGAAACGTTCGGACACGCGCAAGTGGTCGAGTATCTTAAGAATTACGAGTTGGTTCGGCAGACCGAGCTGAAAGACAAAGCGAACAATGAGTTCAGCGAGAATGGCGAGAACAATAGCAATACTGGACAGAAGCCAGCACCTAAGGATACATCCAATCCAATGATTGATGATTCCCCAAGTAACAGTCAATCTTCACCTTTGCCCTAAGTAAAGCCATGCAAAAAACTTCAAATCCTATCACGAGCTACTAGATATTTAGGGATACAGTTTATGACTACCTTATGTTGTAGATCTATGACTTTTTTGATTTGTTTTTATATACTTGAAAGACTGGGTCTTTTAAAGAGTTTAGTTGTACGGTAGATCTGTGATTTCTTCCATATATATATAATACTGTTATCGTTAATTGTTGTTTATTTTTTTTTGAAAATTGACGTAGGAATGTCTCGTGTCAATAGAGCTTAATATAGCCTAGCTCATTTGAACCAGTCTTGCAGCGAGACGGTCTACACAAAAGGTTTTGTCCAAAAAAATCGACTTACGCGCAATCCTCATACAATTTACACTTGCGAAAGGGCTAAAATGACCGGTCTAATGAGTCTGAAATTTATTGCACAGCTGATCGGTTAGCTTCTGATGAACGTCTGTCGCCTAATTTTCATAATGCAAAAGCTTACTTAGACCGTCCTAAGCGTACAGAATGATAGCCAACACGGCTATGCTAGGAAAGAGCTGTGAATGGTGATAATGCTATTGCGCCTCAATGACAATAATTCTTCAAAGACTATCTGCACAATTCATGGTTAGATAGATAACATTGTTATTCAATTTATATATCATTATTTTGACGCGAGGAAGAGCATAATTGACAAATACAGAATGGTGTTAAAATGAGACTTTGAACAGACCAGAATACTCTACGTCTCAACTGCCTTTGTTATACTGTTGAGTTTATTGCCATTTACTTCTTTTAACATTACTTTTAATTGTTTGTACGTAAATTTAAATCGGTGGTATTTAGAAGATTATATTATGGAAACTTGATGTAACGTTCAAAGATTTATTTTTGTTTTTCAAACTACAAACAATGAAACCTGAGTACAAACTCAATCACTAATCATTTGAATTCATAAATAATATCTACGAAAGTGATATGCGAACGATTATCCCACTTGCAATATAGCAAATCATAATAAGTGTTGAAAAATTACAGTTTAAAATGAAAACAAAGATTCTGGTGTTTTTCGAATCAACCGTTATTCCTTTGTAATGGTTGACTCGAATTATAATTGTTATATCGCTGTATAGATAAATTCTGCTACAAAGTTACAAAAAATGATTGTTGATCAAAAAAGCTTTCATCCATATAAATTAACAACATTGATCTAAACATCTAGATAAGTAAAGTCAATTAATTATAAACTGAAATTTCAATTTAAGCTACTTTCACCTGCATACAAAATATTGCCTTTGTATGATACATATGAACTATAGTCAATATTAAAAAAACTATAGTGTTTTTATAGTTATAAGTATGTTGATTATACTATAGATGGCTATTATTAAAAGTCACTTCATCCTGAAAGTGGAAAAGGTATTGTAAAATAAAAACATTTGCAGATCTGATTCATCAAATATAACATCAGTATTATCATTTCATTGAGAAATCTTCTCGTTATGTCAATTGACACACTTTCAGTTATTTAATTCTGAATCTTGCTCCAAATTCTACTCGTACGCTTTTAACAATCTTATTAATTTATCTTACTCATAAGGTACGGTGAAATCATTGAAATTTGTTGTGTAATATAAGTATAAAAATGACAATAATGAAATTTTAAAAGTGCGTCAAGAACGTTATTTGTTATCTAATCTTTTGTTTCCCTCAATCTTAAAATAATTTGTATATTTTCATAAAGTTTTTCAAATGTTTTCTACTAAGACATTCCTGAGGCTTTCAATCTTCCACAATGTAATACTTTATTCGCGAAGGCCCCTCCTATTGATATCCATAGATATACAGTGAATAGAGAAATTTTGTTACGACTTTCCTCCCATTCGCCTAAAATATAAATCAAAGGGGCTCAAAAAATTATCTACGACTAATCAATTTTCGTATATTTTGAGCAGTGGTTTCTTCATAAAACTAGCAAAAAATTAATGATGTTCTTCAGGTCAGCTTGGTTATGAGATGCAATAACAGTTTTCATTATGAATGTAAAAATAAATGACAGCTAGAAATGATAGTTGGTTTTTTAATTTTCTATAAAAAAACCACTACTCAAAACATTTCAAGATTGGTTAATCACACTCAGGTATGAATATTTGTCGAAGATAATTTTTTTTGAGCACCTACGAATTATATTTTAAACAAACGATTGGAGGGAAGTGACGAAATTTCTCTATTAACTTGATATATATAAAGTGATTAGGGACTATAAACGGACGATAAACGCATGTAATCAATGGTCACATGTGAACTTTGAAGAAAATAAATTTTATAATTTGTATTAGTAATAATAAGTTTAGTAGTTATTTGATCATAATTAAAAACAAAACGAACAAAATTGATAAAGTTGGAATTTTAAAGATTAAGTTATTATATGATATCGTTTGTGAAATGTGAGAATATCAAAATACATATGTTTGCATTGTTCTATAAGTGTACATAAAAGTAATAAAAGTTAAAAAATAAAAATAGAAAAAAATTATTTTTCTTTTGAAAAATATTGTCGTGTGTATGTAATTCACATTAATTGTTTTTGTATTATTATTTCAAAAGATACCTATTTTTTATTTACTTACTTACCTACGTATAGCTAGCTATTTAAAATATTGCAATAATTATATGATTTTTATATATCGACACCAGTTCAGAAAAAATCATTTGTTGTAAAACATCATTCATTTCAACAACAAAAATTTAAATGAACAAATAATTCTAGATTTAGTGCATTCTATTGTAATCTTTTCCATTTTTATTTGCGAAATTTTAATTGCTAAAAAATTGCATTCAATACAAAAATAATGACTAACAGTATTTTTCAATTACATATAGTGATGTAAGATGAAAGGATAATGCTGGATTAACCTAATCAACAAGATTGACGCTATGAATTACCACAAATGAGAATTATGATATCACATTTGATTGTCTCTTTCGCCTTTTGAGATCATACGTGAGTATATTTTGTCATAATTAGACCAATTTTTCTACCATATAATAATATGTAAATAAAAATGAATTTTGATAATTTTGATTAAAACGTTTAAAAGGTGTCTGAAAAATGTTAACATGACATGAAATAACAACAATAAATAGATATTTAACTGAAACTAAATTATTTTGTAAATTTATCAAGTATTACTTATCATTTTAATTGGAATATCCAGTGAAAATTTGAAAAATGTTTATTTATAAAACCTGCTGATCTGAAAGATAAATGTATTATTCGCCAGACGCCACTTTTGAATAAATACTAAAATTTTTACAAAAATGTATATTCCTAAAACAGAAACGGAAACAATCTTCTGCAATCGTTATATCGACTGTAAGTCTCGGAACTTGAATGAGCGGAAGATGCGCCACTTTTGATGTTGGCGGGAATTCCGAACAGACCCCTTAAATTCATACCAACTCCGAATAAGTGACTCGCACTAAGCACAAGAGCCACTTAGGATGAAAGGCAAGTCGGGTATTTAATTTATAAAAATCATGTATCTAGTTATTCTGTTCCATACAAACCTAATAAAAATAAAAAATCATTCGAGAAGAAACCGACAATGAAAACCAATGAATCCTAGTTTTATACATTGCAATTATGTACTGCTTAATAATGTACGATAGAATACGTATAGTCCGTATTCTGTCTCTTGGAAATCTTTGACGAAAGGACACTTACAATGTCTAAAAGTTAATATTTCGAATAGATGTCAATTAGAAATCATGAAATTCAGTAAACAGAAAAAATTCACAGTTTATTTTATACTTTTTTATTTTGAACACGTGAAATTTCAATCATTGCACAATAACAATGTCAAGTAAGCGATAATGAGAGAAAGCAGAAAAATTGTATTACTTTGTAATTATCAGCTTCTAGTGAATAGTATTCAGTCTGATGCAACAACAAGTTTTTGACTGAAACCAATACTGTGATATCCCAGCAAAAGAGCACAAGGTTCTTTTCTGTGACAATTCAGTGTACATTAGATTTTCACACTTTTAAAATCGCCCATCATTCAAGAAAGTTGTACAATGCCATTGTCGACAATGATCTTCAATCGTGAAAAATCCGTCAGATAAAATAAAATACAATTACATATGCGTATATATACAATCTTCGCGCATTACCTACAAATTTTTAGAATTTTTTCAAATTATAACATCAGTTGCAAATAAGTAGATAAAAATGCGGCATATTTTTTAATTAAGCTACATTTGCCTAATACACCCTACCTATGCGCGAACAGCCACAACTTTTGACCAGAAGTAAATTTTTTTGTAAGAAAATTCATTTGAAAATCATTTTTTTACCCTTTAAAATGAGCTATCGAGCGATCAGTCTGATCAAACGTGGCTTGAGTTATAGCTTTTTGCAGCAAACTATACCCTTTTTTTACATGCGCGAGTTAATGTATCCAATATGGCCCCTCTTGGGAAACGAGTTTTGAAAGGAAAAAATCTCGTAAGACACTTAAGAATAAGTTTTAATATCAATATTTATTGTAATTAATGTTACAGTTATTTGTTCAATACTTTTTAGTAAAATTTTTGAAAACTACGCGGTGACTTAAATAAAGTCATATTAAAATTTAGATTCTTATTAACACAGGTATTCAATAAAAAATAATAATAAAATAATTGTATTAAGATTAATAGCACACGGAAGTTATAAAAATTAAAACAGAATGTAGTTTCTAAAAATAATTGAAAAATGTTTCAATGAATATTATAAAAGGTATATTTTAAAATCCAAAATATATTTTAAAAATAATATAAAATCTTTGGCATCCATACGCAGTCAAGGCAACTAAAATCCCTGATTCTGTGGTGTTTATTGCGCATGTCAAGTTCTCCTGTATCAATTTTATTCTGACTGCGTTCATAAATTGAAAACTAAAACAATAAAAACATAGTTCGCATTTTTATAAGTTGTGTATACATTGTTCTCGCGAGTAGCCATATTGGGACGAATTGAATAAAAATAGTAACCAAGGCGATATTTAGCTAATTCATACACTACAGAAATTTTGAAAAACATTTTTAAAAGAATAAAAAACAACAAATCAAATAAACAAACACACAGGAAATTTTGTTTTGGGAATAATAAGATAGCTTAAATTCTACATACTCATCTACAATACATATTGAAAAAATGAAAAAGTTGCTTCACCTGAGCACAAAAGATTCTCAAGAATAGTAATCAACATTTCGTAGCCTTCAAAATTTTGACACATTCATCGGTTAATTGTGCTAAATGATTGCCACGAGATGGTGTAGCAATAGCGCACTTTAATTTGAAATACCTGTAAAGGAGAATATTAGGAAGCAGGACATATTAGGTAAATGTACCTTATCTTATTGATGCTGAGTTTATATCTAATTTAAATTTCAAAGAAATGTGATACCGTAACTGTGAGATGCTACAGTTTATAAAAAATACCTTGTCCTCTTATACAAAAAAATATTTCTACAAGATTTTGATTTCTAAATCAAAGTTAATTCACTCAGGTGCTTGATTAAATTACGATGTATAATTGCAATTGATAATTGTTTTTGTTATTTTCAATACACAAAAGTCATAAGTTCACTATCGATAAATTTCTTACAAAATTATGTTATTTAAAAACAATTAGTCGATTATAAGATATTTAATTTAAAAAAGCTAAAAATATTTTTCGTGAAATTCATTGATTCAAAAATAAATAATGAAATATCCGCTTCTTCTTATACGGAAAATGATGATTAACGTAAGATCAACCATTCTGCAAAGATTTGATCGCCCGACATTGCACAGTAAAAGAACGTTTCTGGATCTGACTACCAATGAAGGTCATTGCCATGAATTAGCAAGAAGGTGGAGTATCATTTCATAATGGATTTTCCCGACCGCAAAGTGCGTGCGTCTCCTCACGTATAGACTGATTCTTTTGTCAGATCCGATAAAAGTTGAGCCTGTAAAAATTGTGGTCTTTTACAATGGCAACGCAACGCAATGTGATTGAAAAATTCACAGCTCGTAGTTACCAATAGATCAAGCCGATAGCACAAATCGGTGTAGACGTTTTAGCCCAAGTCTGGAAAAAGTTTCATAGTAATAATCATCGAGCTTCCTTTCATTGTCGAGCCTGAGAATCGAATCTCATCTGTTCATTATCAAACTTTAATACGGCCACAAATTACCCTTGGCATCAATTGATTGCGTATAAATGTAAGTGCGATTCTGCAATGTTGTGTTCGTAAACGACGACTCGACCTTAAATTAAACTCTGATTTCCGAGGAACAATGGTAAAAAATATAATGCATCATCAGGATGAATGATTTGGCACTGATTGTTAACAAAATCGTTTGAAATTCTTAAAGTAGCTATTCTAAAGAATTGCCGCTATTAGCCTCCATAAATGTCACATATGGTTTCTCTAATCGTTAATAAACGATCTATTGCCCGTGTATGGATAGAATAATATAATGAGAATTCAGATATGTATATGGTTCCAGGAAGAGTGATTCACAATTGGAGAAACATTGCTCGAATGATACCAAATCATCGCTATTGTAGACATTTGTTAAAGACAACTGAACGTTACCAAAACGATAAGGAACTTTGAGTCGATCAATTTAGTAAGTTAATCATAGAAATCCAAGCCATGAGAACATTCAAGCTGCTCGGTGCACTTTTTGTTTTAGAATCCAGACGATCATCTGTATTTTTGAAAAATAATGCAAGAGAAGCAAAATAGCAGCGTTGCGATCAAAAGCAGCCGATAATCAGTATTATTCGCTGTTGAGCACGACCTTTATTACGTCACATTGCAGTGCACCAGGATTTTCTCACAAAGTCTATTAGCGCGCACGTAGCGTCTCCGCCGCGGCGTGAGTCAGAAAAAAATTTTACAATTAACCGTTTCAACGTACTCACAACGGACCTCGAACTTGACGCGCAGCGACGTCTACGCGGGGACGAACTTTATTTCACAACAGCGGCTGTATAATTGGCTCGCTCATTTGGGTATCTTGCTCAAATTTTGTAGCGACTGATGTCACTATTCTTTATCGTCGTTTTTTACACAAGAGTAATTATTATTATTGTTCATATTGAACATTCAACCTATGATAATATTTTTTTACGTTGTTTTTTTTTATGACCAGTCATTGTGATTAAAGTTTTTATACATAGCTTTTAGCAGATTTCATTAGTTTCATATTTTACAATGGAGCTATTGAAAATTATTTTTAAAGAATGATTCAAAGATTTGTTTAAATAAATCGTTTAATAAATGTAGTTTGATAAAAGTACGCAATTAACTTCCATCCATCAGTTCTTATTGCATTCACATAAGTATTTGCGAGTTATTATGGCTACTATTATTTAAAATAGACGCAATCATTCGAAAAAGAAAATCATTATTCGCATTATTAAAACAGCTGAATAATTAGGAAACTTGAATTAAAAACGAACTATAAATAAAGCTAACGTTTGGGCATAAAAATTGAAAACCTTTCATCAGTCGTCTTTCATAATACAAGGAAATGTCCGAACCAATTGAGTTTTTGTTTTGCATCGTGATGAGACGCATGCGTTTTATTGAATCGCTAAAAGAAACAACATTGGAGATTATTGCTGCACAAAGTAAGTCTCGACGTCAAACATTTTCAACGTATTTCTATCGCAACAAAACCATCACGTAAAGAACGTAATAATCGTCCGATCGCTCAGATATCCGTGACGTCTGGTCGTCAGATGTAATAGGTGATATTAGATTAGAAAAAAAATCATGTATGCAGATAATAGCAGCGTTTCGTCTGTGTTTGTCCGGTCTTCCCCAGGAGGACGTGCCAAGCCAACAAGATTCTACATTAGGGATTCCCCGTGTTTCTTTCTTAAAACTGTTTCTAGAGGAATCTAAGTTCTTTCAAATATCTCGCGTATTTCTTTCTCTGCGTAGCGTACGTGTAGAATTTTAATGCTATCTTGTGTTGCTCAATAAAGCGATGAGCGTTATTATAAATGTTACTTTCGCTGTGAATGTTATTGGATTAATTAAATGAAAAGCGATTTAAACATAAGCAATCAATAGAAATCATCGAATAATTTATTAGTTTGACAGAAATAACTTAATAACATGTCGGAAATCACTTCGGAAATTGTAGTAAGCCTCTCAATGGTTTAAAGAAGGTTAATCTATTTATCATATGGCAATATTTACAAAATTATTTATTTCCAAAACTTCCAAAGACTTCTCTAAGATCCAAATTAAATTGAGAAAGTCAAGTTATAAGTTATCAGCTTTTCTAAACTCGGGGTACCAATAAAAAAAAATTATTTAAAAAAATATTTTACTTTCTACAGATAAATCGCGCACTAAAAATATTTAAATTTCTTGAATGATTTTATTTTGCACCTACAGCAGAGTAGACAAAATTGATGCTATCGAAGAATTAGCATATAACAAAAGCCTGTCTTAGTACATACACGTGCGTCAAGTGTTCCGAGCACAATCTTTGCAGTCGTTGAACCTAACCTTGAGGAACCAGACTGAAAGATCGGGGGAAAAAAAACGCGTCTCGGAAGAAAGACAAATAAAATCGCTGCCCGTTTAAAAAGCAGAAATTGGCCAAAATCCTCCACATTTGGATAAATTATTGACGCGTAACGTCCTGAGAAGAATACTTTTTTTTTCGAAGTCCTCGGACTTGCCCGCAAACATCGTTCGACGAAATTACATTTCGCTAAAATCGCGAGCCTTCACCTACAAACTACGTCACGCGAACTTGTAAGAATAAAGATATGATTATCGATGATTTTAATTTCGATACAACTCGTTTTTGCGCAACTTTGAAGCGGGGCATTGGGGAAAGCATTGATAGTATGGCTTATTTACGCGTAAAGCGAGATTTTAAGGCCAAACATTAATCAATAAAATTCTTGGTGCGCTGACATGACATAATTCGATTATGAATCATATGAATATTTCTTAAGAATTTTAAAATAATTGTTAATTATATTAATTATAAAATAATGAGAAATAACAAACTATGAATTTATCATGTACTTGATTATTTTATAAATACACTATAAATACAGTATATTATAGAATTCTCAATTGATTTTATACTTAGAGAAGCTGCTTAGTTAGCGTACTATTTTGTTATAGCTCATCAAATCTTAATCTAAGCTCCCACGAATATCATTGTAGGAAAGAATAAACTACGATTAAAGTTCCAATTGTACTGAATCGAAAACCGCATTAATTTTAAGGCCTGATACGATTAGTATCAGGGATTTTCCGGGAATCATGCAGGAATCACCTATGCACTTTTCCACGCGAGAAGCTCGTAAATTTCTAACGTAAATTATAGATCTCGGAAAACTCCAAGTGAGACGAATCGATATGTTACTCGATATGTACTGTTCATTTTCTTACTTATGATATTACTCGAGAATTCACAATATTTACGCGACAGATATAAGAATTTGAAGTTTTATAAAACGTGGAAAACGTACTGTACGGAAAAGTCATCGGGACAAGCACGTGCTGATAGCAATAGGCGAAGCGTCCAAACATATTTAAAAACCTAAAGCAAACACAAACCGGAGCGACATGCCCATTGTAATAAAATAAATCCATCAACCGACATACCACAAGCGTTTGAGATTGACCGTTGGCATTTCCACCCCCTTATGTTGACGTTTTCCACAAAAGGCCGTGACCGAAAGTAACCTTGACTCTCCATAGGACAGTGTATTTTCTCGATATTTCCCGCAGTGTAATTAGCAATGGCGATGCCACAATGTCGATTGGCGACGTAGGAAGGAAGGAAGGAGTAAAGCGCGTCTAGGTCACTCCGAACGCTCACTCGTATATAAAGATGTTGCCCGACTCGCAAGACATTCAGTCTCGTTCGAGCATTGACGACGATTTGGTTGATAAGACTGATTGTGTGTGAAACGAAACTCAACAGACATGAGTTCGTTCAAGTTTTTAGTGCCCTTAGTGCTACTTGTGCTGCTTGCTGTAGCTTCGGCTAAACCTCACAGTTAGTATTCGCCATTGTTATTTAAATTTAAACAATTTCTTTTCGGAAGGGTCCTAACGCTCTTTTACCTCAACAAATTTTCTTGACGTTTGAATTTTTATAATATATATAACAATTAGTAACGTTATGTTTTTCACAAATTGCGAACAAATTAAAGTTTAATAATGTTAAATTGAACTTTATGTAATCATACGCGTTTCGGTCAATTTTCTACAGCGCTGTTCTGTTCAATTTTTATCTTGAATCAGGAATTTTACATTTGGACGAATCATCTTAATGTTTAAAAACTATATATATATATACGTAAAAATTTTGCTAAAATGTTCGTCATTACGATTTTTAAATTTACTTTTCCCTACAGGTGTAAAGGTAACACAAATTTCTATAAATAATTATAGATCGATTATGTATAAAATTGATAAATACAGCAAGAATATTAACTGCTGGTGCTCAATAGAAAAAATTCTAAACACGAAACATTATTCCCATTGCAGATATTCTCGGTCAGATTCTCGATAACCATCGTCATCACGATTCGAGTATTCTCGATCCCCTGGGTCTCTTCCACAAGCACCCATACGGGCAAAGTAGTGCAAATGCCGACGCCTCGGCGCACAGCGAGGCTCACGCACTGCAGGGTGGTTTGAACCTAGGACCCATCAGTTTTGGAGGTAGCATCACTAGTGCCAAGTCTGACGCTCATGCCAGTGCCAATGCTAACGGCGGTCAAGGTGGCGCTGGAGCAAACGCCCATGCAACCGCTAACGCGAATGCAAATGTCGGTAGCGTTGGAGGCAATCAAAATTACAGAAACTACGGACCATACGGCCAGGACGGTCAGGGTTTTGGTCCAGGAGGATTTGGACAGTCGAATTCCAATGCTGAAGCTCACGCTCAAGCTCAAGCTCAAGCTCAAACTCAGGCTCAAGGAAATGCCAATGGATATGGACCTGGTTTCAGTCCTAACTATGGTCCCAATTATAGTGGACCTACATTTAACGCTGGCTCAGGAGCTAAATCGCAAGCGAATGCTCAAGCTCAAGCTAATGCAAACTCGAATACAGGTGGCTTAGTTGGTGCCCCTGGTTATGGACCAAATTATGGACCGGATCGTTTCGGACCGTTCTATGGAGGTGGTCCAGCTCAATCCCAAGCCAATGCTCAAGCGCAGGCTGACAGTCAAGGTAACGGAGGATTCTTCTAACACGGGATAGCCAACGAAAAATTAAGTCTCGCGTGTCTATATGTGTGTTTATGTGTGTTTGTGTGCTTAATCAGACGCGAGATCGTGTTATGTGTATTAACTCTTTTACTCTATTTCTTTTTTCCTCGCGTTCGAACATTTTCGTATCTCATCCGCACATTTGAGAATGAAAAAGAAGCTATGATAAGCGATAAAAAAAAGCTGATTAGTATTAGTTATGATGATTCTACCGGTTCTCCATATGCTCATTAAGAAAGCAGAAACGAGGACCGGTTCTTCAAAAAGAAAAAAATAAACATTCTAGATCTGTAAATACGTGTACAAATACACCAAAAAGAAACGAAAATATTTCGAAATGCACCGATCGTGGAAGCTAGCACTGTCACAGCTATATGTGTCATCATCAAAGCTCAAGGACGTCTTGCCGATCACTCATCGTCGTTGTCACCTCTCGTTCGTCCCTCCATTTGCTTTCTCTGTAAATTTGTTGACGTTATCGTAACCACCCATTTCCTAGCTTGTGACTAAAAGAAACAGTCAACAATGTAGTAATAAGAAACGATGTGTTCGACAAAATGCCATTGTTTAACGCAGGAGTAGGAGGAATTGTAGGCATTCCAGTTCAGGAACCACAGTTCATTGACAACAACAACATCCAGAATTATCCTACTGGAAACGCTAACGCCAACGTAGGAGGTAGTTATCAACATCAACAACCGACTGGTGGTACAATAGTGCTTCCGGTCACTGTGATAGATGTACCGATGAAACACAAACACCACTTCCACCACCATCACCTGCACCGTCATCATAACAAACCCCAAACACAACGACCTACGTTTGTACTAGCTCCTCAGCCTCAGCCTCCAACATTCGTACCAGCTCCCCAACTGTCACCTCCAACTGTTGCTCCAGCTCCACGTCCACCTCTACTTGCCCAACAGCCGGTTGAAATCATCGTTATCGAAGAGACCAAGCCACTCAGAGGTGAGACGGCGTTACTAGAATTTTTTTCTGAGCTGGAGCTATTTTTTCAATTTTTTTCAAGTACTTTTTATTTTATTTATTGGCCTAATGGATGCATTTATCGCACAAAATGGTTCTATTTGGACAAACGTCAACTATTTACCGATGCATTTTTTGACTAACTGCAACACTGTTAGTCAAAAAATAGTATTTATTGAAAATTATGAATATTTCAATAAATATAATTGACAAAGCAATTAATTGACAAAGCATGCGCATCAAGCCACAACGGATGGATTTCTTCGCTTATTGATATCTGCCTGATAATTTGAAAAACCTTTAGCTACGAGCATAGAGATGTTTCTTTTTCAAATTTTTCTGTGTTAAACTAAGTATTTTCTACCAATTTTATTTTTTATTGGTGTGAATGTTTATTATGAATTGATTCAAATTTGGATTAAATTAGATTTTATGAACCGTTTATTTATCATATTAATTAAAATATTTTTCATTTTTTCATTTTATTTCAAGCAATATAGTGGATTTGAAGTAGACTAATCTAAACTGAGTACTAGAAATTCTGTAATAATATAAAGTACTAGATCTCTACTTTATTTTCAGGACCAAGCTGTAATCAAGGATGCGGTCAATCTGCACCAACGTTCAGCAGTTCAAATCCATTCCTGAATGCCGGTAGCAATGCTGAATCATCGGCTAACGCTGGAGCATCAGCAAATGCCAATGCTCAGGCTAGTGGAGGTTCATATCAGCCAGCTGTAACTGGGCCAGCTAGACCTTCTTATTATGGCAATCCCTTTCTTTACAACAAATCGAATACGGGAGCATTCTCGAACGCTGGTAGCAACACTGGTGCTAATTACGTACAGCCAGTTCAACCCGCGCAGCCAAAACAGCCTGTGATAACAGTGCAACCTCCAGTACCTCAAGGATACAGTCAAGGTGGTAATTCCAACGCCAACGCGAATGCACATGCAAATGCTGGCACTTCTGGTATCGTAAAAATAACCATCCCGCTAGGCGGCAGCGAAGGGTCGTATGGAGGTTTCAACACTGCTGGTGGTCACCAAGGATCTCTTGGCAGCTATACCGGCAGTAACAACGTGATCGGAGCTCACCAGGGATCAGTCGGTGGATTTAATGCCAACGCGGCCGGTGGTCACCAAGGATCGCTCGGCGGTTTCAACTCTAATTCCAATACAAATGTGAACGCAAACGCTAATGCCGCAGCTAATGCCGCAGCTAATGCCGCAGCTAATGCTGGATCAGTCGACGGCTACAACACTAATGCAAACGCTGCTGGTGGTCATCAGGGAGCTCTTGATACCTTTTCCAACAATAACAACAATGTTGGGAATCACCAAGGTTCGATCGGCGGTTTCAATACGATCGGTGGCCAACAAGGATCTCTAGGCGGTTTCGACTCAAATGCCAATTCCAATGCCAATGCCAATGCCAATGCCAATGCCAATACTAATACCAATGCAAATGCCAACGCAAATGCCAACGCAAATGCTAATGCTGCGTCTGCTGGTGGATCAGGAGGATTAATCGTCGTCGACGATACTTTAAATGGCAACAACGCTAACGTATTTGAAAATGGTGCTGCTGGGGCTAATGGTAACACAGGTGTATTTACCGCTCCTTTGCTGCCGAGCTACGGAAGGTTTGATCATGCTGGTGAGTTATTTCGGTGTTCTAAGAATAATGATAAAAGTAGAACGTTGCTTCGAAATTTTTCACAAACCACAAGTTTAGTTGGAAATAACGGAATCACGAGTAATTAATTTACCTGCAAAATGAGCTTTCGGTGATCTTTCAACAATTCAAATTACAACGATTTTCAGTTACTATAATGCAATACAAAGTTTGAAAAAATTGCTTAATATCTGTAATTTCTTTCAACGTAACAAATTTGTTGCAGGTTCACACGCGGATGCCAGTGCCAACAGCAATGCCAATGCCGGAGGTATTGGTTCGGGAAGTGCGTCGGCTTCAGCCAACGCTAACGCCAGCGCGTCATCGAAGGGTTACGGCGGAGCCAACGCGTCGGCATCTGCATCGGCAACTGCGTCTGCGGGAATCGGCGGTATATTTGAGTCGAAGAGCTCTGCCGGAGCAACGTCGGTAGCGGACACGCGCGACGGACTTATCTTCAGCTCGTAATGCTGTGAGACAGCTTGAAGAGCCGGTCGGGTGATAGCACATGTTTTGGACACTTTTATCTCTTACGACGCTCTTCAGTCGGCTCAGCGTAAGATTTAGAATGCTTCTAATACTTGACTCCTAACCAAATGAATAATACTCTGCGCTTTTTTTTTACGACGACGTTAAACGATTTGTTTTGCTGAATGTGGCATCATTGCTTCATTAAATACATCATGTACAGTATGCATATATGCGCCTTTTATGAATATCAATTATTCACACGTCGGATTTTATTGTTTCCTGCTGTAAGAAAATGATGTAAATTCGAAAATTATTATTTGTTAGAAATTTTTTACTTTTTATTAGCCGTAGACACTCGTTTTAAGTTTCTGCAATCGAAACCATTATAACTGTTCGTAAGTAGTTTCGGCGAGCGAAGATCGCCAATCAAATGAAATTTCATATCGCCTCGCGGATGTACTTAATAATTTTTTCGGCATTCCCGCGAAGTATCATCGATCTCGCATCAGATCAGCAAGCTTGTATCACGATTGTTTTGACCGAGCGACCGTCTATATGTGTGCGTGTCAGTGTGCGTGTGTGTATGCGTTATGTTTTATGAAACTTTTTTTCGCGTTCGCACAATCATTCGCCATTGCCGTTGATTGGTTGCGTTATTATGTACTTAAATATATGACAAATGTGGAAATGCAATAAAATGTATAATACTTTTTGAAATATGTCGTACTGTTAATTAATTTAATTACTAGGCCATCTGGAAAATGATTGACATTATTATTTTCTACCTTCAATATATTGTAAATTTTCTATAATAAACCCTTAAATCATAAAATTTTCATAAAATGTTTTTTCTTTTCATAGGAAGAAATTCAAGTGCTCATAGTAGTCGTTGTAAATACGAGATTATACGAGAATTATGAATTTAATTGGTCATGGGAAAAAAGAAGTGAGACGTTTTTTTTTGAAATTATAAGTACATTTAAACAAATTACAGTTAATATCAAAAACTCATCTATTTTTTTAAAAATTGTTATTGTTATTGTTATAATTATTACTTTATGAACTACGTTCCCGTGGAACGCTGTAGAGGTACGCTAGGTACCTGTACGCATTACCCTTGGATTCCTATAGTTATTAACATATTACCTGTTTTACCACTTTTGATATAGCAAGGGACGAGAAGTTTTTAGACCTATAGTTTTAGGTGGAGTCGAACCATCGGAATCACGGTAATAAACATAAGAAAATTTTATCATTTATGAAAATCTCCATATGCCTGGGGCTATCTAATACACTAAACGTTCTCCTTTAATTCCTTTTCCTCTCCCTCTCTTTCTTTCTCTCTATTCGTTTATAGGTGTTTCTTTTTATCTTTCTCATTCATATTTTTGGCGAAACGACGGTGGCAGTTTTGCATCAGATTTTACAAATTCGCTAATGTTGATGACTACTTTGTATTAAAAAAAATGACATGGTTAATTCCTTGTAACCAATAAGTGAGCGGGGATGACATTTGACCTCGTTGTGAGTGGTGGTTAAAATAGAGCTGCTAAGACTCAACCGACATAGAGGTATTATTTTAGTTTCTGATATTTCTCAAGCCAGCTTATAAATAACTTTGAATTTCAATTGTTATCTTGACGAAACACAAGGAAAAATTATTTACAATAAAAGTTAAAATATGCACAATTATTCATATGTTGGACATGTCCTAATGTTCGAAATTATTGCTACACTATATTAATTAATTAATTTTTTGTTTCTTGCGAAACAATAACTTCACTAAGCTATGTTCATATAGAACATTACGCATTTATAAGGCTAATTTAATGAGTGAATAATTCTTTCGCACCACGTTTACAATGATAGATTTGGCATGAACAGCCCGTATCCCGCGCGAATCAGCTTCCGATGCTAAAAGTACATTTCGATGCTAGTGCCAGTGTATCCTCGTGAAATCGCTCGCTCTTGTATCGACGTGCGCTACGGATATAGATTCCTGCCTGTATCGGTTGTCGTTGCCCTGTCCATCAAGTTGGACACGCGGTCTGTGCCGAGCATGCTGATTCAGCCGACGTGCGGTGGATACTGTGCGCTCGGGAGGCTAGAGCCGCGGGTAGTTGCCGATGACCCGCGGCTGCTCGACTTTTAATTGATTTCCCTTCGTTCTTTCACCGCTAGAATATTGCCCCACTCGATACTGGCGCGAGAAAGCGATTTGCGCTGCTTCCGACTAGGCGATGGAGTCTTTCAGCCGGCCATCGTTAGACTTGTGTTCTCGATGCCAGCGTCCAATAATCCTATATCAACAATTCGCCGAATGAAAATCCGATACGATAACTGGTATCCCGTACGATCGCGTCACAGTATTGCGGACGAAGATTTGTCACATATTATTTATTGAATATTAAAAAAATAAATGGGTTTCGTTTTTTGTTTCTCTTTTTTTCGATCCTCCATTCGTCACGCGAAACCAGCACATCGATGAGAATGGAGGATCGGTAAAAATAACCGACGGGAAAGCGTAGGGGGATGCGGTCATAATATCCAGCCTTCGATCGTATTGAAGTAGTCGTCCTTGTGTCATAAAACAGTCCAATTCTTTCTCCGTGAATAGCCCGGGCGGTTTTAAGTTATATGAATATTCATGATTTTTCAAGCAGAACTCTGGCCTCTAGTTGAATGCTCCATTGAAGTTTTTCTACGTCATTTTACTAATGTATCGTTCGACTTGAAAAATTATTAATGCGCAGACCAATTTGAATTCTTCAAAGAACATTTCAAATATTTGATTTAATCTTCATAATACCATAAATATCAAATAACACCGCCGACGCGGTAAAAGAGATTTGGCAACTAAGATTGTAGCAAGCTTGAATTTTTCCAACGGGTCCAACCCAATATTTTCCCCATTGAATCAGCGGATGGCCGTGACACTATTATGAAAAGATGTGTAATACGCATTTTATGATGCTATTTCGAAAGTTCGTAGTGTGTATAAAGAGGCGCGAAACCAATGTACCTTGTTTCGTTGTAAAAACAAAAAAAACATATTCTGCCTCGAGATACTTATGTAATAGGCAGTCTCGTCCCATGAAAAAATATCCGGCTCGTTGACCGATGGAACGACCTTGACCTTTCTTCCTCGGTCCGCGTGGAATCCGACGTACCTTTTTTGGCCGATTCGCCAGGTGAAGAGACGCGCTCCAACTTCCGCGGTGTCCCTGAACGCAAAATTGTCGTGAGGCCACCGAGAGAACCGTACATCCCGGGAGGTATGTCGCAAACGTATACCTCACGCGTGACGTGTGATGGGTGAAGGGAGCTCGCGCAGCCACGCACAGTCCGTTCGGAGTTTTGAGAGTGTAAAGAGAGTCGCGAGGCGAGGACTCGCGCTAGCAATTTCATCGCAGGCGGCGGCGCGCCTGGGTAAAACCCGCGCGAGTGCAACGGCTGCAATAGCGGCTTGGCGCGCGCCCGACCACATATAAATACGAGGCCGGGGAACTTCGTCGGCTGAATGGGCATTAGGGCCTCGCGCGTGCCACATCTTTAGATTTCCTTTTTCACGCTCCAAGATGTTTGCCGCGGTTACTTGGTGCCTCGTGCTGTGCGCCGCTGCTCTAAACGCCCAGCCATTTCAAGTCGGAGAGAAGAGGGATGCTGCTGCTGCTGCTCCTGGGCTGATTACTTTCCCCGAGACACCTGTTGCTACTTTACGCCACGACGAGCCGATTTTGAACAAAGCTAGTTCTGGTATAAAATTCTACTTTCTTTATTATACTAAAATTCGCGTTACGTTTAAGCAAATAGCCTGACGTTTGAGAAATGTTCACCCTTTTCTTATTCAGTTTTTTCTCAATTTTGAAGGCTTGTCAAACCTTTTTTATCGAAATTTAAACTATTTATTATAGATTTCACAACGAACATTTTCAATTAAATCGAATTCATTTTATTTTCTATAATTTTATTTGTAAAATTTAGAATTCCCTTCGTGCAAGCTCAGTTTACTTAATAAATAAGTGAAATAACGAAAAACATTAGCTGACAGAGTTGTTATTGTTTATTATCATAATTTTGCAATCCTCGGTATGAAACTCGCAGATGCAACTACCCTCAATTTCGCTAATTGTATAAATGAAACAAAACTTATTAATTTTTTGTCATACGACAGAATCAAATTGTGATCTAATGTTATTGAGTTTATGAATACATTAACATGTTTTCCAATCGTCTTTTTTCGAGAGAAGTAGGTCAGTCGCTTTCAGTGATTGCGTCGAGATGATTTAAATGAATCTCATAAATTTACCGGGTCTGAGTAACATTTCACAAGATGAAAAGCCCAAACGTAAAGTGCAGTTCAGAAATACTTAGTCACGTACTGAACAGTCTGATAAATGTTTAGTCGAGATGCAAGAATAGATCAATCATGAAAATTCGTTCAAACTTTCACGGCTGTCGCATATTGCTGCTTGCCGTTAACTTATTCGAACGACTGTAGACACTTATGTAACAAGTTTTTTATTCCTCATTCAGCCAATTTGTAAAACCTATGATCGTAAGCAGCGCTCAAGAATATTCGAAAGATAAAAGAAAATTGAAGCGAGCTTATTTCCATAAGAATCGTTCTCAAAACTCCATTGAAATCATATTGAAAATTACACATACACGAGCACCTTCACTCTCAAAGTGTATTCGGTCGGATCCTTTCTCATTCCTCGCGCTCCGAGAAGTCTGAACCGACAAGTCTCGTTACATAACTATTACCGAATCGCAAGTCGAACAAAAACAGTCGCTCTGACAACTAGGAAAGTAATTTTTATAAAACAAAGGAATACTATATTCGCGATTGCAGAGTTGATGAGAGATCAGCGTTCGGCGGACGAAGAGTACGATTATGTGGAAGACGCCGCGGAGGACGGTCCCGAGGGTCGACACTTGCACAAAATCAAACGCAAGCTCAAGCGCAAGTTCAAGCCACACAAGTACGGCGGACTGTTGGGTGGATTTGGGGGTTACGGCGGACACGGCGGCGGGCATCATCACGGCGGCTATGGAGGCTACGACTGTCGCACACTTCACGGATGCGGCGGCTTCGGAGGGTAAGTTTTATTCAATGACTAAATGCGAGTGCAGGCAATTATGAGCGGCGAACGAAGGACGCGCCCTCGCAGATTAGCCGAGTTTTGCGTGAACGTATCGCGGAGGGTGCATATTACGATTTTACAAGTGGATAATTAGGCTTATTGTTAGGGGTACACATGCGCGTAGCAAAATTTATTTATTTACATGACACGACGTTTCACATTTTATATATAATCTCCGATGCATGCAAGATTTCGAAATTTACGCTGAGCACATCTAAGTTAATTGATCGGAATAAACCATTGCTTTCACTTGCTCGGAGGATTAACGATGCCCGTAACGGTAAATTCTTTAGCTTTGCCGGAAATCGCCAAGAACTGCTCGGCAATTTCGACTGCCACGCGGATTTGCGCTTCGGCTGTGCTGGCACCTATAACATGCAAATAAGTCGCACGATTATTTTTTCTTTTCCGAAGACAAAAGAAAAGCTATCGGTTGAATTGTCAAATGATATTTACCAAGATGAGGCGTGGCGACGACTTTGGGATGTTTGATTAACTCGATTGTAGCCGAATTTTTCGGAGGCTCTTCGAGGAACACATCGAGTGCAGCACCGCCGCATTGTCCGCTCTTGATTGCGTCCAATAAAGCGGCTTCGTCAACAATACCGCCGCGAGCCACGTTGATGATGTAGACGCCTTTCTTGCATTTGCCCAACGTTTCTGCGTTGATCATGTCTGTAAGAAAACGGCAATTGACGTTAGCCGTAATCGAAGTGACAAGCGAAATTCGCCAAAGGTAAAATTATAAAATCGTTGGCAAACGTTGTCCCGTTAATCTGTGAAACGGCGCAAGCTTTCAAAGAAATCCCGTGTCCATGAAGCAAATCGTAAAACTCACTCTTTGTCTGAGGTATCAGTGGCGTGTGAACGGTGATGTAATCAGCCTCCCTCCAAACATCCGCGAGCTCTCCTTTGGTCACGCCAATCTCGGCGAATTGCTCGTTAGTCAGGAACGGGTCATAGGCAACAATCCGCATATCGAACGACTTCATACGTCGCGAAATTTCACGCCCGATCCGACCAAAGCCGATGACTCCGAGTGTCTTGCCCGAAACTTCGTTTCCGGCGTACAATTTACGATCCCATCGTCCCTCTTTCATCGATTGGCATGCCTGTGCGATGTTGCGTGCCAATGACAATACCATGGCACACGTGAGCTCGCAGGCACTGATACTGTTGGCTGCTGGTGTGCTAAAGTAAAAAAAATTTAAGAATACGTACTACTTAATGTTGATACTTTTAATGTTATCTTCGACTCAAATATTTATGTTATATTTTTTTATTTTCCCGCCAGCGATACAATACATATTCATGGCATTATAAACTGATGATTATTAGACAGATGAAATGTAAGTCAAGAATCAAAGTAACATTAATAATTTATAATTAAACTTACACGAACGTACGTCACACAAAACGTTTAATTATCTTTGCATACTATATAATTTACATTTACCTTGTTAAACTTGAAAATTTGAGAATGAAAGAAATATGATTTGAAAAAGCGATTCAAATTGATCGAGTGCTAACCGCCGCGAAAAGAATCCAAGATAACAGTACGCTTTCTATCGTTTTACGAACACGCGGGGGGCCACACAGCAGTCGCGATAAATCGTGCGCAGAGAAAAAGATTTGGGAGTTGGTGCAAGCGAAAGATAGGAGTGAGCAAGGGAGGACAGATAATACTTACTTCAACACAAGGACGCCATTGCGCGTGGCAGCCGGCACGTCGATGTTATCGACGCCGGTGCCGGCACGCCCGATAAGTCGGAGACTGGGTACCGCGTCAATGACGTCTGCTGTGACTTTGGTCTCCGATCGCACGATCAGCCCGTCGTGTTTCTGCGAACAATAAGCCAAGGCGAGCGTCAAACGAGCGTCTTCGGTTGATTTTCGCGCGACGCGAAACGCAGACACGGGGTATATATACCGGACCTTCAGCTCGGCGATCAAATCGTCTTTGGAGAGCTTCTGCTTCTGCGTGACTTTGACGCCATGTTTGGTCAGTAAAGCCTGGCACCTCTCGTCGACCGCGTCGCTTATCAACACACTGCTCAGCTCGACCGACATCCTTCCTACGCGATGATTCGTAACCGACTGATTCGTTTGCTACGAGGCGACGCGCGTGGCCGAGAGGCGAACGCTCGATAAGACCTCCTCGGTCGCAGAGCTCCACTCGCGCGGGGATTCGATCGCAGCCTTGGCTCGATCGAAAGGATGACACGCCGAGCCCGCTGCTGCTCGTCCCGCGGTAGAAACGCGACTGGCTCTCGGCGAGCAGCACGCGAGCGATCGCGAATCGGCAAGATCAACGTAATTTCCTTTTCCCTCACTCTCCGACGAACTTGATAGTGGAATACACGTTTCGCGGCAGATGATTTATTACGTCACGCCGGCGCGCCATTGCCAGCTTTAATCTACAATTATGTACATTGATATTTTTTCCCATTCGGCTTTTCTCTCGCTCGAAAATACATCCTCCTCTATTTTACAGCTATGCGCATTGTATATTGTGCAATATACAACTTATATATACAATATACAATTCTTATTCGCTAGAAAATTTTTATCCGCGATATGGGTGGCGCTGGCGAATAAAATATCTGACAAACATAACGATCATTTACGCCATAGCCAACCGAAAGTAAATTGCATTCGTAAAGTGACGCGAAGCCGATAGTGAAAAAATACCGTCTCTACCGATCCGAGTACGCTCTTCTTGTCATGCAAATCGTCAAGCCAATTAAAAGCCGACCGCGCGCGGCTTGTGAGACGTCGAGAGCAGCGCCAAGGTCATTAGCATTTTGGTTAGGTTCAGCTCCGTGCAACCGCATCGAGTGCATTGTTTTTCGGGTGGGAAACATGTGCGCGAATTGATTATGCGCGCAATACGATCGGTTTACCCGTATGCAAATCGCCGCCGCTCTCGCTTGTGAGCCTGATGCGCGCACGTTTCTCTTTTACGTTCGCGCAACCACGGGATTGCACCTTTGCATCTCGTTAAAAAGAAAAAAAAAAAATTACGCTGACACACGTGTTTGACAGTGATACGCCACTCCAACGAAAATAAAACAGAAAAACAGAGGGATCAACTTGGAAAATGGATTTGAAACGCTTTGTAAAGTTTACGGAGCCCGAACGAACGTTAAAATCGCAACCGATATGATAGTAGCGGGGAGGGGCTGCAAGCTCGCCTACGTCTGATCGCGACAGTGCCCCGAGGCTAACGCATCACCTTGCTTGGCTGATTGCTCACAAGCTTCTATCGATTGTTATCCAGTTGGCAGCAGCCGTCGTACGGGCCAGTAGCCACGGCAATAGCGGGTCCCAGTCACGGAGGGGGAGGCTGGCACCCCGGCTACGGCGGCTACGGCGGCTACGGCGGCTACGGCGGATACGGCGGCAGGCCAACCGCGCAGGCGTCTGCTTGGAATTTCGGACCCTTCAGCATCGGCTGGGCCAACGCCGGCAAATAAAGGTAAGGGATATTGGCCAGCGCACATTCTTATTGACGTGGTCGTCGATACATCGAGACTCGCGCTCGTATAGAACGACGCGGAGGCACGCTACAGGCATGCCGCACAGGACGCTCCGCGATAACAAAAATATATATATACGTATATGCGTGTACCAACGGCTCGATTCGCGCGGATGGACCTCCAAAATCGAACGAGAGCGAAGAACGCGTGAATCGAGCAACGGTTTCTATCGCAACGCAGAAAAAGAAATAAAAGACAAGCCGCGAGCCTCGTGGCCAGCGCGACACTTGGAGAGAATAATCATCGATCACGCTCAATCGGCGTCCGTTGTGGCGCGACGAGAGAGAAATATCGAACAGGCCGCGTCGCTGGTTTTCCTATGCACGCGTGCGAAACCCGTTGGGCTTTCACTAGGCGTAGATTTTTCTCTTTTTATTTATGTTTTTTCTCTCTCTTTCGAGAGACGAACCAAACGCGTGCAGGGTACGGCTGATTCGGCAACAAGCTCTCGTCGACTGTCCCAGCCTTAAAGGAGGGTTGCGCCTAAGTGTGTGCGTGTGCGCACGACCGGTTTCCTCGCCGATTTACAGCTCTCGAGTCCACGCAGCGTGTTGTTGCAACGAGATGCGGCTACTGCACCGCTCTCTCTTTCTCTCTCTCTTTCTCTCTCTCTCTCTCTCTTTCTCTACTCTCGCTGGGAATATTATTTTCATTCTGTACCATGCTGCTGCTAAAAAATGGTTTTTTTTTCGTTTGGGGTTGTGGGGTACGAAAAGATGAAAAAAAAACAATATTCTCTTTTTTTTACGCCGCTCGTTTTACTGGTGAGTGGTTTGGCTCTGGGTGTTGTGTGGGTGTCCTTGTAACACTTTTGCGCGTCGAATTCTTATGGAAAAAAACGTATAAGTATTAAAAAAAATCTAAAACTGTATAAGGCAATTCGAATTTACAACGTAAATATCAAGTTTCAACAAACTGTCGTTCAATTGTAATTCAATTGTAATCAATTGTTCGATCTTTGTTCTATTGCTTACGTCTTTGAACTCTTGTTTACGTCTAGCATTTATTAATTTCCAAACTCGAACTGAAGTACTAACCATTGTTGCATCATTCTAGGGCGCAAAATAATATATAAAATCAACGCGAACTAAATCGTACCTCTCGCGCAACGATTACCCGTAGCGTTCACCTCGAAAAGATAAATCACGCGAAAAAAATAAGCCGTTAGGTTTCACGAACTTTCACCAAAAACTCTGACCACCCCCTCGCTTCTCGGCTAACGAACAGGCGAAATCTGCCATGCAGAACAAAGGAACAAGCATAAGAAGACGAAAGGAAAGAAGAAGAAGGAAGAAAAGAAAAAAAAAAAAAAAGCGAAAACCAGATGTCGGAGAGCAATCTGCCCGCGAGAGAAAGAGAAACCCGCGCATCCGCGCTGCGCGAGCTTCTATACCAGCTGAGCCGTGGCGCGTGAGAGAATTCGGCAGATTGCAGTTTGCGCCGCGCTCCGTTTCGGTTCGTTTCTTTTCTCCTGCCGAAGCGATGATTTTTCCTTGCGGAATATCCGACTTGCCGGTCGACGCGTGCGCAGCAGTCGTCGTTACGGGGCTCGCGTGAGAACGTTCGATGGGGTTTTCGAAGCGCATCGAGCGACGTCGTCAACGTCTCCGACGCCTTCGCAACGCAAATCTCCAGATCGCGAAACTAAAATCCGAGATGACGAGCAACTAAAACCCCTGGGCCGTGATGCTGTTCGTTCAAGTCCAGTTTCCATCTCCCGCCCCCGCTGCCATCTCTTCCGCGTAACGTCACCCACGATCACCTCGGCGAGCCCAAGCCCGCTGAATCTTTGTCTTTGTCAAAAGAAAGAAAATAAATAAATAAATAAATACACGAAAGATCACAGCAGTCCGCGCACCCGCGCGAGTTGAAGCTTCAATAGCACCTGCAGCGTCGTCGTCTGACTGTATTGGCAGAGACAGTCCGACAGTCCGGCGAGAGGCCCTTTAAAACCGGCGAAGAAGAGGAGAGCGCCGGATCTTGCCCCCTCCCCCCCTCCCGTCCCCCCTGAGAACGTCGGAAGATTCTTTCCGTTTGCCTGCTTTTTTTTTTCTTCTCCGTTTCTCTCCTTTGTCCCTTCCTTTTCACACGTTCGTTCCCCCGAGCGCATTCACCTCGTCGTCGTACAATGGCCCGCGCGCGCTCTCTCTCTCTCTCTTTCTCTCTCTCGCTCTTAGTGCCTCGAAAATATTCGCGCAACCCTTCTTCGTGACGCGGCGCAGGTTCCTCGCGGCGGACAGACGTGCGCTGAGAGAAAGCGAGCGTATTTTAAGTAAACATGAGCCGAGCGAACGAGAGAGAGAGAGAGAGAGAGAGAGAGAGAGACGGACGGGTGCGCCTCGTTATAATAATTTAGGTGCATTGCACCCTACGTTGCATCGTTGCCACATGCACACGGGTGGGAAGAGGAGGCTGCGCATATATACAAGCTCCGATACGCTCAGCAGACTCCCAAACGGAAGTGATGGTTGTTTTCCTTTGTGGACGCACGTGCGTGCGTCTGCGTCGCTCTTGTCGCCGGATCTCTCCTCGCATAGCATACCGCGTACGTGCAAACGATAAACAGGTAGCGTTACGAGCCATGCGAAAATTTTGTGGGAAACTGCGCGTACGACGCGCTGCCAATTCACGCGGCCTACGAGTCTCGTTCTAAACGTACACGAGCTCCCGCGTCTCTGCCGTACGGCGTGTCGGTGCATACATCCTGCGCAATTATGAAATTTCGCCGAGAGATGCGACTCGCAGTTTCGACTCCGCTCGTTTGCCTTTCACTCGCGCGCGGTGGCATCGAGGGACCTTTGCGCGCCGATTTTTTTCCACGTTTACCACCTGTCGATCAAGTCCAAACGACTCTGAGTAACCCAACGTGCGATTCGGGGTATTTGCCGTGCGAAAGGAAAATCATCGCAATGTGCTCGCTTCATCGTGCGTATAGAAAGAAACGAACAATATTTGGCGCAGATCTCACGAGTAACAAACTCGACGCGTTTCTATTTGACGAGAGGCGTGAAATGCGATTGGGAACTCGCTGACGTGATTTCACGGTTCGTCTCGGTCCGCGGGATATCATTTTACAGACGATCCGAAAGTCAAACGAGCGAGAATGAAAGCAAAAAAACCAACAGTCCTCCTACATCGTCGGACGTGCCCATCTCTCTAACAGACTGGAACGCAGTCGGATGCTCGACACACATCCACAGCGGAGCTGAATTGGCGTTTGCGCGAGTGCCCTGCAGCGCAGTCAAAGCGTTCGCGAGAGGAAGAAGCGTGCGCGGGGCACGATTTCGAGCGTGCAAGCCGCTCGTAGCCCGACGAGGCGATTTTACGCCGCTCGACGCGACGCGCGTCGCAAATCGACGAAAATAGCGAGATGCGTGTATACGGGTCCGCGTGACTCTACGCGATGAGCCAAACGATACTTCCACGGAACGTTCGGACGTTGAGATTGTTTGTCAGAGTCGGCCGCTTTGCACGACGAGCTGCAGGATTGATTACCGTCGTTTCCAGTTAATTTTATCATCTGTCGGGAAACGCAACAAATGGCGACGTTTTCAATCTTGCGCACGCCAATTCTCAAAGCTGCTTACAGTCGAGATAAGAAAACATTGCTGAAAATGAGAAATCAATTCGTTAAGTTTCGAAAATGTTTGAATTCTAAAAATGCTGGTATTGCACAATTTTTCACAACTTTTATCTACTGTGCAATGTTTACAAACGCGTTACGTCATTCTCTTGTGCATGGTTTTCGTATTCGACGATGATCAGAAGAAATTTCATTGGTCAAATGGAATATTTTAAATAATTTTGAACCAAAATAGGCTAAGTTATTTTAATTACGCATATAACTAAACCTTAGCAGTGATCTGAACCGTATGGTGTTAATTACATCTATGGAAGTTTAAACACAGTTTACAGATGAGAACACAAACAAAAACCATCACTTGAAAACTATTGATAGTTTGAATTCTCGTCATTGCCATTCAAAATGAAATTCGGCAAAATATATTTCTGTTTCAGTGTCCTCGTCGAAACGGACAGATTTTGTAAATAGCGTATCCTCATCTGTAAGCGACCTCACGTATCGTCCTCGAAAGGCAAAATATCCCGCGTCGAGTCCGCGCGCAAAAAGACGGCGCGCAGCAAAGTGTCCAGGACTAAGCTCTGCCGGCGATGTTTGTAAATAAAGAACCAGTCCCGCCGAGGCATCGGACTACAACGAAATCGGCCGGCGAGCGAGCGAAGAGGAAGGCGGACGCGAAGAAAAGACAGCGACAGGAGCAAGGACCTGCCACCCCCGAGCGATCGAGATTTTTCAAGCCCCGAGACTCTCTCCTCTCTCTCTCTCTCGCGCGCGCGCACGCGCGCGCGTTCGCTTTGTCCGCTGCTGCTTTGCTCGAGGAGCGCAGCCACCAGATGTTCCTCAAAAGGCGAAACCGGTAAAAATTGGCGAACCGGCCGACGACGAGAGAAACAAAGGGGGAATTAAAGGGAGCGGACGCGCGCGCGAAGGGAAGCAACGAGAGCTGCGCACCAGAAAAAGAGAAACTCTGCACCAATGATGAGACAGTTCAAAGCAGCTTTCTCTCTCTCTCTTTCTCCATTGCCTTGCTTACTGTTCCTTTCCATACCGACGCCGTTCGATCTCGCGCGTAGAGCTTGTAAATATGCTTCGCCAGAATTTTCAGTGCGGATTCTTCGTCGTGGCGTTCAAGTCACCATTACTTCATATATGTATCATATAACTGTTCGTAAACTGAATAAACAAATTTTATACGAGGCACAGTTCATATTCCATTTGCAATTAGTTTCGTTGCGAACGATAGGGCGAATTTATTTGTCAACGAGTTCGCGTCTAGAGTCGAAGGCGCCTCATCGACATTTCACTGAAATTTCAGCAAAAAAAGAAAGCAACGCACTTTGTCACGAAAACAGACCAAACCGCTTTATTAACAACATTGTAGTAGGTCAGAGAACAACGTTTCCAAGCGGCATCATAAATTCCAATCGTCGATAGCATCTCCGCGAACCGAAAAGGAAAAAAAATACAAGCCCGGGCACTCGAGAACAGCTGGCCGTTGGTAATAAACATTTCGCAAATACCATGCCTGCGCGAGAAGAAGAAGAGGAAGAAGAAGAAGAAGAAGAAGAAGAAGAAGAAGAAGGTCGGAGTATATAAGGATCGCGAGGGGGAGGGGGGCTACAAAAGGGACGCCCGCGAAGAAAGAGAAAACGAAAAAAAAAGACGAGGACGAGGATGCTGCGCGCGGCGCAAAACCGAAAAGCTCTCATCTCTCGGGGCGCGCGCGTGCAATGACCGTGTGTACGCGCGATCGTCCGGCGCGAGTTCTCTCTCGTCTCTCCGTTTGCCGCGGCGCGGCTGCAGTGAAGAACGCGACTGCCGCGGAGCCCCGATCGTCTCGCCGGCCAGGTTAATCGAATCGCGCGACTCGCGGGGACGCTCGTCGAACGCGAGATGCCGCGGACGGGATCCGACGGAATCGCTCATGGGAATATCTGGCATGGCGACAGGAGCCCGACGCTAAGTGGAGTTTGATGCGAGCATATTTCGCGCACACGCATGCCGAGCGCAAGATTTATCGACGCGTACGTGTGACTGCGCCTATCTCGGGCAAGAGAGTTCGGGCTTCGCCGTCTTTTCGGGACAATAGAAGCTGAGCAAATAAATCTCAGGTCAATTATGCAGAGAACCTCTTTTCTCCTTCTCTCTCTCCCTCTGTCTCCTCTCTGCCTCGACCATCCGACCGAAAACATTTTTATTCCATTTAAGAGATCATTCAATTGCAATTGTCGCTTGATTTTTTTACTTCTTCTCGTTAACGGCGTCCGAGGCTGCTTAGTTGGCGTTAATTCGTTTGAAAACCGACTCAGCTGATATTGATTCGCGAGCGTGGGGTTCGTTGCAAATCGACCCGTCGCATACTCCGATCGCAAAATTGACGATCCCAAGGTGGCGTTGAGCGAAAGCGAACGGCAGAGGACGATCGGCACCTGCTCGCGCGCCTGCTCGTACGCGCGGGCAAACCGGGCGGATTCGACGGTGCTTATCGGCGATGCAGTCGGCCCCACCGAGCGGCCGGCGCACGGATCACGGGTCTCGAGACGAATACGAAAATAATGGAATCGGGCCCGAGGTGAGCGGCAGAAAAGCCTCTCTCGGCCGCCGCGCGATAAATCAACAGAGGCGAATCTTTCACACGTCGGCCCGATTGTTTTTCCTCGGCGCGTCCCTTTGTCCGGGCATTAGCATAATGCAAAGCAATTTTTGCTAGACACCTCGCTCGCCGAGGGCTTTCGAGCGGCGAGGAAGCCTTTGCCTCTCGTTACGACCAGAGAGTCAGAGAGAGAGAGAGAGAGAGAGAGAGAGAGAGAAACCAGTCGCGGGGCGAGCGAAAAGACACGTAAAAAGGATGAAATAGAAAGCGGTCCGGCCGGTACAGATACGCGTACGCGCGGCCGAAGAGGGAGGGATCGCTGCAGCACCGAGAACCCTTTAAGGTGGATCTCGAAAGGCCCGGGGATGCTTTGCCGTGGAGTCGAGCAGGCCTTGGACTCGCCGGCGTGTACCGAGTCCGCGCGTCTTTGTCCGGGACACGGGGCCTTCTCGCCGATTTTCCGCGGCGATCGCTCGTGCTTCGGCGCGAGATCCCCCGACCGAGTTATCGAGCGTCGGCTGCGCGGGATCACGCCGGGCGCAATCCGATTGACGCAGCGTAATTCACGTGGATTAGCTTCCACCGCGAATTTCGGGATTGAATCGCGAGACCGCCGGTGAGCGCCGGGATTGTTCCGCGCGAAGCGCACTTTACTTAAGAAAAATTATCGAAAGAGAAAGTTGAGCGAACGCGTTTTATGCGACACTGCGTATGGGCGTAAATCAAAATGTGATTTCTAAAGTGCCAATCGTTCCATTACGTTAAAGACAAAAACTAAAAAAACGTATTGTTATTCAATAAAAATTGAAAAGTATCGGTGGCTTTTAACGAAAAAATTCAATTGAATTAAAAAATCGCTGCACTGTGAGAAAATAATCACGTAATGTCCTTCCAACAGCCTGGTTGTCGACTCCAAGTGGTGCAGCACGTTCGAAGAAAAACCATTTAAACCTTACACGTCCGCCAAAAATATCCCGTCAACTTTACAATCAAGAACGAAGATAGCTCTCTTATTCACACCAGTTCTCGAAAAAGAGAAACTCGTCGATTTCTTTTTCATTTTCCTTTTTGATTATTCGAAAGTGCAAAGCGCACAAAAGTCAAAAGACAGCGATCAACAAAATACCCCCACGAGGGTTTCCCTCTCCTTTTGGACGCGACCGGCGGCAAGTGTCCGCTTTGCGAAAAGCGCGCGTGTGTGCGTGCATTGCGTACATGTCTCTCCCTGCCCCCTTTCAGGTTGCAAGCGAATCGGATTGGCGGGGCCCGAGTGGAGTCCGGTCCTGGGGCCTCTCCCTCCCCGCCTCCCCGCCTCCCCCTTGTTATAATCCTCCCTCTCGCTCGCTCTTCCTTACCTTTGCGTCTACTATCACCATCCTCGTCTCGAAGCCTCCAGCCTCGGCGAGCTTACTTGTACGCTGCCGCGGCATTGTGCTCGCATTTCTCGTGCGGTTGTCGACTCGGAAAGTATCCATCCAGGATATTCTCGGTAAGTGTGCGTTCGCGAATACATACATCCTGCTCGATTTAACGTTACCATTGTCCGCGACGATTTGTCACGCATTGACAGATCCGTAACGCGGAGCCCGAGTGTTTTTCTCTTTCTTTTCCGGTTTTATTTTCTTTCATTTTATTTATTTATCTCGTCGCCACGTCTCGCGGGTTCGCAGGGAACGCGCAGCCTCTTTGTCGTGAGCCTAGTTTCTTTGTTGTGCGGGCGCGAGCGGTCGGTGCCCTTTTTCGCGACGTGTTCCGGCTAAGAACCTAGCGCCTCGTGCAGTTTACGAAATTGTTTATCGGAGAATATCGTGCCGAGGAGGAGCGCTGCTCGCGCTCGCGTCGGGCTTTTTTTTTACATTTTCTTGTGCCACACCGACGAGGAATAAAATAAACGGATTCGAGCTTTGTATTTCGATGTTTCGTTTACGTAAGTAAATTGAGCAAATTTTATGACTTTAGCCTGGCTGGTTACAAGTCCTGCGTAAGGTCCCTCGTTGCTGCAGTTTCATTTTCTTTTACTTAAAGTTCATTTCTTCAGTTTCGACGTCGGGAAACGATACGATTCTACCTATTCTTAAACGCAATTCAAATCTCATTTTTCTTTCTGTAAAATATTGACTTTTCTATCGCTTTTATCCGCGCGCGCGAGTAATCTTGCTTGTCCGCTGTCGGGAATTGTGCAAGACAGCCAAAGCCGAGTTTTCGAAAAGCTAACGCCGATGAATAATTCATGCCGCGTGCCATCGTGCGAATCGTCGGACGCGCTCGCATCGACATCTCGCGTCGATCTGCGTCTCCGGGGTCCGCCCGAGAATAAAGCTCGACGGGCTCGGTCTTGTCTCAGCGCGAATCGCGCAACGGGAAATCGGAGCGGATTGTCGATCCCCCCCGAGGCGTCGTTACGTTCCGCCGCCATTTCGACGCTCACTTCGACTCGCTCGCAGTCTCCGATCTGTCGGCGTGCCATCGACTGCTCTCGCTCGATACTGATCGCAGTGCTTTTTTGCTTTTGCAGAAATTATCGTTTGGTTTAGGAACAAGAAACTCAAGAAATTCCCGTTTGGCTCGTCAAAAAAAAAAGAAAAAAAAAGCAAAAAAAAAAACAAAAAAAAAGACAAAAAAAAACACGCAAGCAAAAAAAAAGCAAAAAAGAGAAAAAAAAGCAAGCAAGATAACAAGAAAACAAAAGAAAAGACAAAAAAGAAACATGACGAAAGCTCTGGTATTCTTCGTTCTTCTTTCGGCCTGCGTAACCGTCAATGCCCAAAGTCAAGCCATAAACAAAACTGAAAGTAAGTTGTAACGGCGGAGCGCGAGGTCGTGCGCTAAAAGTTGGCCATTGGTTTTGCAGAACCGATCAGTCTGCCTTTCCAAGAAATCATAGTGTCATCGGACTTCAAGGTCCGGCGCAAATCGAAAGAGAATCGGCAGGGTAAGGAATTATTCTTGGCGAACGTGCCGTCAGCTACAGCGACCAGTCCGCCCGGAAAGTCAACGGCTCTCGCGTCGAGGCTAGTATTGAGCGGCGGGAGTAGCGTCACACCGGACAGGAGGAGGAAGCGCCACACCAGCACGGCTCACCGAAGGTATACGCGGCACACTCTTTATCTGCTTGTCTGCCTATGTTTTTTTTTTTTTCTTTTTTGTTCGTTCGTTCGTTCGTTTGTTTGTTTTTTCTTTTGTTGGCGCGCCGGGACGAGTGCAGCGGTTGCGCGATCGAACGCCTGCGCGCCGACATTGCCGACACCGCTCGTGGGCGGCGTTCGATCGTGCTGCACGCGATCTCGAGGTGCGTCGCAGCATCGCCAGTCGCCGATGCAATTGATTTGTGCGCGCGCGCGTGTACCTGTGTGTCTGTCCTGTGTGTTCGCAGACTCCCGAAGGAAGGAATAGCGAAATACTCGCTGCGATCACGACAGCGTTGATTGCCAAAAAAATTAGCACGTGAAAAACGAGGACAACCGCACGACTCCTCATCCTCATCTGTGATCACACGTTTCGGACTGACCTTTGGACTTCGGCTGGTAACAAAAAGTGGATTAAAATTTTTCTGTGTCATAACAATAATTGGTTGTGTTTTTTTTTTTCATCTTCCACTGTCTTCCCTTCTCCCCGTTCACCCTCATTCCATCCTATCGGAAAATTGAAAAGACGTCGATTGATGTTTGGTCATTACACTTGAATCGCATATTATTGTCAAAACGAACGCGTACAAAGTCAATAGAATAAATGACAGAGAGTCTCAGAAATCGTTCATAGATAAAACATAAATAGCCGTGCACGGCACTTCATCGCGCATTGCTGAAACGTTCGATGAATACTTCCCAGCGTCGATTCCAAAGCTTCGTGGCTCGCTTCGTCTCCTCCGTATTCAGACTCGAGTACGCGATCGAGTTCGATGCCAACTTCTTCAGCGCCCTCAGATCAGCGTCCCTCGACATTATACCAACGAACGCTTCGTAGAAGTCGTAGCTAAGTCCTCGAGCACCCCAGAGCCCGGGATCATCGTTGGATATGACCACTGGGTAGTTCTCGGAGAAGAGCATACTCGCCGGGTGATTGCGCAAGTCCTTGACGAGGTTGAGCACTTGATTTGAAATCGGTGCCACTTCTATGGCAATGTTTTTCTTGCGAACCAGTTCCATCACTTTTGGGTGCTTCAGAAGAGCGTAGCTGAAAAATTGCGAGAGAAACGAATTTTCCATAATGTTGAACCAATGCAATGCCGGTGAAAAATGTCGATAATAAAATATTGAATTTCGAAATACACGAAATTGCCGCGCTCGCCATTTATTCAAGCTCAGCCGCTTCGAATCTGACGGAAATCAATCCCACGCCGGTAAAAGCACTCACCCGTGTCCGATCCTCTTGCTGTTCAGTAAAACGGCGTCAACGAGATTCTGATCGGTGCTCGTGCCGTACCAATTGGTTTCACCCGCGTGGAAGAACAGCTGCACGTCGTCGCCGAGCTCTCGCAGCCTGTTGGCAAACTTCTCGAGCGGGTAGCCCTTATCCTCCTGACCGACGAGATCGAAGCCCGCGATGAATTCCGGCAGCTCGTCTTTGAGCTGTCGCGCCGTGGCCAAGTAAGCTTCCATTTCCATGTCGCTGCATTTGCGTAACGGGGCGTAAATGAGCTTCATCCCGATGAAGTCCGGATGATCTCGGACGAACCTGAACGACGGAAACTCGTATTGACGTTAGCTTCTTGCAGTAATCGACAGTCGCCGAGAACACGCTTGGAGTATGCGGATTTTAGTTTTCACGATATCATCATGAATTTGAGAAGAGCTGATTACAAGCTGGTATCGCTGGTATGCGCACTCGAGTTATTCGCAAATTTTCTGAACGATATCACTTTACCGCGCAACTCAAGCAAAAATACGTAACGTTAATTGTCAGCAATTGATACGATTGGATGACTAATTGTCGCGTAAGCCGGATTAACTGATTTCACGTGAGCTCCGCGTTTTGCAGCGACGCGATTGCGGACGTCGTTTATTTTGCAAATCCGAACTTGGTCGATCTCAAAGAGTCGTGCGCAAAAAGCGTTTACCATAAATTTAGCGATTGGCTTTGCAAGAGATACCTGTCCGTGACGTTTTTATAAATCTTCGCTACCTCCACAGGCCCGTATTTCTTGCCGTCGAGATCGTACAAAGTCGGCAAAGTTGAGCGCAGCTCCAAGTATTGAACGTTGTCGCGATAAAGTTCCAGGAGTCCTTGGTAGAAGTGGTCCTCGTAAACCGGCCTGAAATGAGGATTCGTCAATCAGCGCCAACCGAGTCATTTGCGAGTTGGACCCTCGGTAAACAATTGCCTGTAAGTCAGCATGGGAGTGATGAACATGAAAATTGACGTGAACTTGGCCCATGCGGTGTCCACGTCTGGATACGACTTGACGGGATCAGCGGTTGCCATGGTCAGCTGTCTTATGATTCTCTCCTCGAACATTCCTGATCTGTTGCCTTGCCTTGTGTTCTGCAGCAGCATCCATTCGCACTCACTCATGTCGGGCTTGTCGAAAAACCGTAAATGCAGTACACCGCTCACGTCGCACACGTAAAGATTCGGTCGGAAGGTGATATTCCAATAGACGTATTTCCATGAGACAATTGCTGTGTCGTGGGAGTGAAGCACAGCTCCCTTCGGCAACTTTTTCAAGATTTTGAAAACCTCTGACTTCTCGATTTGTCTGGCTGCCGTGAGAAAGTTTTGGGCTGGCAGGAAATTTCTTGGGTTTGCAAAGCCTGCGAACAAGTTCCTCGATTCGTTACGATTCTTGATATCTTCATTAAAATTCTTATTTATGGTACTTAATTTTTAAATAAGATTTTATTGTTTTTCGGTAATCGCAGTTTAAGATTATATCATCACAAAGTATAGTATAAATATTTATATTATGCATTGGAATGATGAAAAAGACACGATATTAATTTGTAATGCTTATCCCTACTAGACTTCCCATGTCGATCAAAAATCATTTATCAACGATGCAGAGAAAAGCAAAAAAACGCGGGTAGAGCAATACACAAAAATACAAAACTCGCATGCATCGCGATTGCCATATGTGCATCGTAAGTGTCAGTGGACGTTGTTGTAATTTTCTTTAAAAAATGTGAGGATTCGAAATCAATGACTTTTACAATTTTCTTCACTTACCATTGTCGCAAGAAAAAGCAATTTGCTTCAATCGATCGCAAGTAATTCAAGCGACTCGTTGAAATAAAAGTAAGCAATAAATAGTACTTTACGATACCTGGGCCAAAAGTTGAGTTCCTGGGCTTGCGTCAACGACAAGTGGGTCAGTAACTCCAATTTTCGTACCGACTGATCATTAACAACGGGGATCAATGACAACTTATACGGTGGAAAGGTAAGTGAATAAAATGGAAATTCAAGCAAGAGGATGACATTGCGCCGGCAAAATTTCTCAGAAAATCAGAGACGCCATAACTGAAGTGCGTCATGTATAAGCAAAGAAAGATAGTATACAATACCGCGAGGCAGCAGCCTACATGATTACACGGACACTCATGTACAGTTTCTCACGATACGAACGCGATATGCCATTATTGTTAAAGTTATTTATTATTACGTTTATTCAAAAACACAATTAATATAATTATAATCTTGACTACAAAATAAATAATAAAATCGCAAGGTCATGTTATATAGCATAAGGTTATGGGCACAGACTCTTAAATTAAGTACTCAAAGTATGTTTATTATAAAAACAAGAGTAAATTGGATGCATTGAAGGTCTGATCACGAAGTATAGCTAAATAGCCTAGTCACGGATTTGGCTAAGCATATCAAACCTATGATTGACGAGGCGATCTGGCAGATAAGGAAGCGAAAGCATCGTGGGGAGCATTACAAGTTAGAGATAACAAATCACAGAAACCAGCAAATATATAGGCTTGTAAAGGAACGATGGATTTTTATCTCAAGACAAACAGTCACACAAAGTCTACGATTATATGCTCAGCTACAGACACCGTGTACGAGATAATCTTAAGATAAGCAAGCAACGCGCGAAGCCTGGGAAGCGCCTGGTCAGCAGTTAGATGCGAGAAACAAATTAACGGGCATGATGGTAGTGTATAAATTGCTGAATAATTTACCTGCTGGAACCGTTAAGATCCAGTTGGATGCTGTTGATAAAAGTATGGTAAAGGCATTTGATGAGTTGATTACGCAGGTTTGTGTGTTCGAAAGAGGTTTTCACAAAAGGATTTAGTTGCAGAAGCGAAAGCGTAACAACGAGATGCAAGGAAGAAGTCAAAAGCGGGCACAACTTGGAATTATTCTGATAAGAAAAACCATTGGGTCGCCGAGTGGACCGCCAAAGTAGTGCCGATCGACGCTCACCCGAAAATAAGAGAGCTAACGAATCTGAAAAGAGTACAAACAAAAATCAGCGCAAGGAAAGGTCAAGAACAAGGAAATCAGACGAAGTTTTACGTTGTCGGCCTCCGAAGAAATGTTCAGTGGCGAGATCGATTTGACTGACTGGTGGATCGGCACTGGTGCAACAAGACGCGCGACAAACAATTTTCATTTCTTCTTAGATGTTGAAAAGCTCGATAGTTCGTGTAACGGCTGGCAATCAGTTTTCAGAGGATCTCGGAAAAGGCACAATAAAATGATAAAAGTTTACGGAACTCTGCACGTATCGTGGTATCGACTTGTTACCTTCTGATCTAAAGAGAAGAAAAATGGACGCGAAAACTGTCACAAAGGTACTTATAGGTTACGATGGCGATGAAAGGTACAGAGCTTACATTAAAGAGCGGCATAAATTTCAATTTTGCGACTTGATCACGGAATGCAACAATGAAGTTAAGTTACCATTGAAAGACTGTCATTTTCAGATGGACAACGTCGATGAGAGTAATGAAATTCCTGTTGAACCTGAAGAAGAGTCAGCTCTTGAAGTTTCTATGGAACCTGCAAAAGAGCCACTTGAGCACGAATCAGAGAATACCCCGAAGAAAATATATCGAGTCTACAACCGAGAATAAGCAAGAGCCGGACAATCTACCGTAACCTATCAGAAATCTAGGGGATCGCTTGAAACTAAGTAAGCCAAATTACTTACACGACATAGAGGCAGTTGAAAGTATTGTCACGACATAGAGGCGTATGAAAACCCTCGATAATTTTAAGAAGCTCCTTCAAGCAAGAAAAGTTCTTCAACAGTGAAATGGCTTTACTGAATGAAAATAAACTATAGAGAATGTTAGATTTGCCATCTGAAGCTAAAATCATTCCACGTATGTGAGTTTATCTAATCAAGATCAATCCTGGTGGTTCAATCAGTCGATACAAAGAAAGACTAGTTATAAAATGTTTCGCTCATCGATCATATGGTTAAACTTTTAGTCAAGTAGTCAGAATATGGACAATTCTAAATCACGACGGCATATTTTGTTAGGATTGGAAATCGAACAAAAAATGATTGCACAACAATTAACCGAGAAGCATTTGCTAAGATTATAGAACGTCTTAATTATTTAGAGTGTAAACCAGTTATCACGCCTATGTTGAAACCTACAGAGTTTAATTTATCAGGAAAGGAAAACTCGAAAACACATAATTTTCCTTACAGAAAAACTGTTAGTACAATAATGTACGAAGAATGGAAAAATGCATTTGAAGCTAAACGAGTTTTTTGCTACATAACATGCACAATTGCGAAAGGAATAAGCTGTAATTATAATAAAAAATATTCTTCAAAAGCAACTTGCAGTGGCTTACTGAAACTGAAATAATAAAACAAATTCTGATGTTTGAAGTAGATAACGCTGCAGCGTGACGGTTTAGCAAGAATCGAGAGTTTCATTGTCGAAATGAACATTGTTATTAAGCACTCTTTTATCAAAAGAAAGGTGATCGAGGTCATATGAACAGTTAAACAGGTGTCTACTGAAGATAGTGCGAAAATTTTGTTAGTCTTTGAGTGTCCAAAGTAACGAAATTTTTAATGGGGGTTTATTATTTTCATTCTCTCCGTTATTACATAAATTAACTAGGAAAAACGTTAAATCTATAAATTTAAATGTTAATTAATTTAAAAAGACAATTAATATAATTATTACCTTGACAACAGAATAATTAATAAAATCAAAAATTCATATTATTATATAAATTACGCAAGATACTACTTTCATGAAATGACCATTATTTGTTGAATAAACAAACAAAAAAAATCAGGTTATTTGTAAAATTTGTTTTCCTTTCCATAAATCTTCGTAAATTAGTTCTCTGCAGTTGACCTATAATATTTTTGTTGTTGGAAAAACGTAAAGCATAATATCTTGCTGCCCGTCATAAATATAAATAAAAATATAATCCGTCATTAATATGCGATAAAAAGACTTTGATTTTACAAATAATCGTTTTACGGTTACGATGCGATAAAAACAATTATATCACTATCTGCAAGTTTGAGATGAATTGTAACCGACGACTATTTTTCTACTGTTCAAAGAAAACGAAAGACTTCGTGATCGAAATACTAAACCAAATCCAAACAAAAAAGTGGGAAAAAGTGCAAACGAAAATCTGACAATAGAAAGTAAAATGTTGTCAACAATCATATCTTTGATGCATCCTAAAGATTCCAATATCTACTCATAATCCAGCCGAATAAAGAGGATGAATCATTTAAGAAAAAAATGTAACGCACCATCATCAACTTCCTTCATCTTCATGTTCATAATAGTCTGGTTAACAAGTTGCTCTTTATAATTCAGCTTCACATCCCCGCCAATCATAATATTCTGCTCGGTCTTAAGTATCAGTGATCTCTCGATCCAGTAATCATCCCTCGGGGCTTTGACTGCATAGGCAACTGCGACATCGAGTAACAATAGTATGGCCACGGGTAAGATAATACCATAGGGACGATTCATGGTAACGAGCTGACGTAAGTAGTCGACGCGACGGCTCGACGAAGACTGAGCTCGCTGCCCGCATGTTAGCCGTAACATATCCGCGGACGACAAGGTCGACTGCATCTCTCCTCGCGTACAGCAGACGCGCGAATAAACGCTCTTGATCGTGGGTATTCGTCGCGAGTTCTCCTAAGCGCGGTCGGCTCAGCTGCGTCCGTCCGCGTGTGCCCAAGTCGTTCTCGTGGCCGACTCCGAACTCTCATCATCGCGCGCGACAGTTGCCTGGCGCATCCTTGCAGATTTCCAGTACTTTGCAAACTCCATGATATCGCGGGCAAATCTTGCCACGTCGTTATATCAAGCGTACATTCTGTTTTCGACACATGACTATTAGCTGTTTTTCTTTCTTCGCCTCGGTTAATGGGCTATCAAAAATATAAACAATTATTAGCACTATCTTCAGCTGGATACACGAAAAAACGTAGAGCTGCTGCTCAAACAATTCTTTATAAAGAGTTTCGCATATCGTACTCTCGATTAGAATTTGTTTTAGCGTAAAGACATATATAACAGTGACTTGGTGAAATAGAGCAGCAACGATATCAATCTCTTCAAACAACTTAAACCTTTTTTTCTATTTTTACTTCTGTAAAGTAATTATTTTTCAATGTAATATTTACTGTTCGAGTAAAAACGTTTATCATTCCCTAAATTATAATACTTTTGTAAATATGTACTGTTGTGATCATTGTCATGATCAACGCGCTAGTGATGTTTGATCATAATGATTGTTATTCAAATTTATAATTAATTAATAATTTATTCACTATTATAACTTCTTTTCAAAATATGACCTTCAGCTTCATTACCAATTGTCAGAAATGATATATTACTTAAAACGCTTACTATTCAGAGTTTCTTACGGTTATTTCAAATTAGTATGCTTTATTTCGTGCTAGCAATTTTTAAGTTGTAAAATAATTATTATATCTTTTTGCTGGCCAATACATAGAGTAATTAAACCCAATTAATGGAGACAAAAATAACTATCATGTTTTATATTATATCGTGTTTTTTAAGGTTGTGGACGAGTGCCGGTGGTACGTTGAATTCACATTTGAAATCAACAAGTTTCATTGGTTATATTAAATTTCAAACTCACGATTTTGAAAAACTTCCTTTTTCTATCCCTGGTTAGACGGAATCATTTTGGTGAACGGCGCTCCGCCATACGTGCCAATACGTGCGTGCTACCAACGAGCTGTTCACCAAACATCTACAAATTATCCATCCCTTAAACAACACGTTCTGCTCTCAGATACACACACAAGGCGTATGGCTATCATATGAAACGACGCGTTGTTTCCTTTACTTACTCCCACGCCAATTTATATCGAGATCTTCGAACTCGACACTTTGAAGTGTTACAAACTATTAGGTCGTAATTTGCATTGAAGTCGAATCTCTTTGTTCTTATTAGGCGCACTGCCAAAAAAACAATAATCTATAGCCTAAGTCTCTAAAATTGTCAAATGATGATTTATTGCCGTTCGATGAGTTTCTTTGGATGTTCACGTAAAATTTGTAATATGCTTTAGAAAATAACTGTTTGTAATCCATTTCTGCACTAGCTCACAAGAATGAGTCCATTATTTTTTATGTAGCTACCTTTTATACAACCAATTTTATGTGAGAAATATCGAAATATAAAATAATTTTTTTTTTCTCGTATAGAGTAATTTTTTATTCTCGTAGTACGCTCACGAGAATTAGAAATTTTGGGAGGCAGGTACACATTTTTCGATTTGTAAATATTCATATTTTTAGTAATCATTGATGTTAATCAGTACTTGCAACTAATTTCGGTAGTAGAAAGAAATGTATGTTTCAAGTAGTATGTAAAGGAAAGTGTCACTTTTAATTAATCAAGAGTTTTAACGTTAATCAAATCACTCTCATATCTAAAAATAATGATTGTAGAAGTAAAGTATGTCTCATGTTTAATTTTTACTACAAATGACGAAATGTTAAATCAAATTTCAGTTGTCATTAAGAGAAGAAGTATGTGGCATAAATTATGAAATAAGTTAATATATATTGATATATCTCTTTATTTTATTCGAATTCATTTTATTATTGTCACTTGACTATTCTGGGGTACACACATATTTATAAGAAATATAAAGACGAAGTAAAATGATAATCTTTGAAAAATTGACAAGTTAATCATATGTATTACATTTTTATTGTAGACTTTATAATGTTTTAAATACGTCGAATTTCTCTAAATTTAATTTACATATTTCAATTTTATCATAAGTTGGCATTTATTGAAAGAGGATATGTAAAGTGCAAAAGAACCCATACTACTTTGAATAACGTTATGTCGCTTCCAAAACACAGTTAAAAAAATTAAAAAGCTATAAAATACCATAACAATTAAAAATGCCATACAAAATTTATTCCTCATTGCTATTAAAAAATTAAGTATATTTTTATTAGATTGGTATAACACTTCAAATGTAATACACGTACATGTACATAAACTCTAAATTGTACAATAGTCTAATTTAAAGTACCAGTAGTTTATATCTAAATCATTTATTTCACGGCATATGGCATTCGACGAGTGACCATATATAAACGTAATTAATATGTATAATAACAGATTTAATTCCTTTAAATTACTGTTATTTACAATTATTTTTTACTTTTAAAAAATAACTGCATATTCTGAAAACATATTTTGCACGGCCGTTTTTGAAGAAAATATATTAAACAAGCGTTTCTAATATTTACAATACTTTGGTTCGCATTGATCAACGCTTATATACATCCACGACATGTTCTATAATCCTTTGTAATGCTCGTAGCTTTCTAACTGATTTTGTAGTTCTCGTTTTATTCTTTAACCGCAAACGATCAAATTTACGTCGATTGGAAAGAAGAGCGAGAGGGTTTTCATTAATCTAATAATTGTCAATTCACATATGAATAGTAAGTTCAATAAAATTCGTGGCAAGTAATACAGGAACTATCAAAAATGCAAAATTTACACATATAATTGTGAAATGTCACTATTATATTTTTAAATTATGTCGCATATTGTGCATGCATGATCATTGCCAGTACATTACACTAACGCTTTATATTTACAATCATGTAAAAGCATTTTCAATTCAAAATTTCATATACTCTAATTTTTAAAATGTATTTTTTCGAACACACTAACATTCAATAGTCACACTATAAACAGTACCGTTTAAAGCATTAACATGAAGCATAATTTCATCAAACATATGTGAGATCAAAGACAAAGCATTTATTTGCTTCATAAGATATCCGCATTACGACATATATTAAAATGTTTACACGTTCGCAAAATAGCATATATACATTTCTGATCACTTCATTATTCCTTTTCTCATGCATTTTATTACTAAAATTTTGTCATGCCATATATAGTGCACTTGAAAATCATTTTAGTCAAACCTCAGCCTAAATTATAAAAATTCAAGCTTCACTATTTTTAATTTCGCATGTTAAATAATTTAAAAATATTTGTTAATTATTTTTTCTAAAAAATCTAAAATTACTCATCATTAAACTAAAATTATTGAGACTTCCATTACTTGTTGTATACGTGAAATAAATATTTTAATATCTAATTTACAATCTAAATTAGTCTTCTGTAATCATTACGCGTATAAGTTTTAGAACACAGTAGTCGAATTTTACATTTTATACAACGAAACAAAATGTAAAAATCTCTTAAGAATATTTTCATATTTTATTATTTTTTAATAAGATATTGAATACATTTTTAATAAAATAAAATATTGAAAATAATAGACTGTATACTTTAAAATCCTAAAATAATCATTTTCATCATAAAAGTATGTCATACAAAAATTTTACGTAGTAAAGAGATCTCGACTAATATTGCAATAGCAACAATAAAGAAGTTAGTATAACATTGGTCTCAGAAAAGTTGCCCCTACAAATTATTTTTAAATGCGCATGAATTATTAAAGCATGACAAAATTGACTACATATTCTCAACGAAGCTTTCGTATCGATTAATTTTAATGCTTTTTTCAACAAACGCATAAACGTTGTCCGACAATTATAACATATCCGAAACACTGAAGTACAAGCAGAAAATCAGCTTTTTCTAAAACGACTCACTTTTTAATACAATCTCATAAAGATACAATAACATACTCTCGTAGTCCTACACATGAAGAACGCAATTCGGAACAAAAAGATGCTAAATCACAGTGTCCTGATAAGCAGGCGGTCCACTGAGCACGAATTGCCTCTGGCTCTGCCTGACAATATCCGTTCTTTGTGGTACTTGAGGGGTTGCTCTGACCCCGTGATAATTACTATAACTGGACCGTGCACTTGCAGGTCGGTTACCATAAAGTTCGTCGAGATCCTCACCGTTGAGACTCTGAGTACTGGTTTGCTGGAAAGTTGGATTACTCTGACCTTGCCATTGCATCTGATTCATAATTTCAACGGGATTATTCACTTGTGGCGCACTTTGCCAGTTTTCAGTAAGATTGCGCGTCGAGCTCGTGCTCTCCCAATTGGTATTGCTCACCATGTTCGGTGGCATCACTGGATAAGCGTTTACGTCGGGTGTCCAGATGTTTGGAGACGAAGCCGCCATTATCATTGCTTCCGGTTGCCAATTTGGGCTAACTGCATTATAAATTATTCAATAAAATATCAATTTACACACGTGAATCTGGTTAATTTATTTAACTCACCTGTACTATCTCGATTCCAATGTCCTGATATCCGATCATAATTCAATGTCCCATGCGACAGCGAATTCACATTCTGATTGGTCAAATTACTCGGCGGTGTGTTGGCGTATAAACTCTCCTGGTGTTCCATAATTCTATTGATAGGATTTTTCCGTCTCGACTGTCTGACAGAACTCCTTCTGCTTGACCTGCGTGTCCCATCTCTAGATATAACCGAACGTCGCTTCACTCGTCTTGGAGTCATTGGCTTCGGCGACGTATTATCGTCGCGATGTGCGATCGGTGGCTCTGGCTGGGAGTACTCGATACTGTACAGTGGTCGTGGCTGCTTTTTCTTCTTTTTGATTTGCGCTACGAAGAGGTAAGTATTATAGCGAAGCGAACTTTCGATGTGGTTTGAACTTACAGTTTGCTCGTCGATGTAGGCTCGTAATGTTTGTTGCACAATACGTAATGTTTTTTACAGTGGTTCGTACAGTAAATAGCATTGAAAGACTTTAAAGAAGTTACTTATAAAAAATTAAAAAACACAACAGTACTGTGATCAATCACGTTCTTAAGCGATTCAGGTATAGTAAAATTTCTACTTACTATAATGATATTTATGAACTAATTCATGTATTACAACAAAATGATATTAAAAACTAACTACAGATATTTATTTCAACTATAATTTAATGTAAGAAAAAAAAGCCCAAAAGTGATTCCAAAACACTACGAAAAAAGGCATTACCATACAACCATTGTTAAAGGAAAGAAAAAAGAGTGAAGGGTTAATAATAAATAAAAAAGAGCAAGCTGATTGTACACTTTCATATTGCACTTTTATTATTCCATCACAAAACGAATTGTTTTGATTATATTATTGTGTGCTGATGAATTACATTAAGATGAAAATGGAATCGATTTTATAGTTAACAAAAATAATGAATCGTGAACTGCTTATATGATATAAACTAAAGAACACAAATAAATTAAGTCATAAAAAAAACTAAACATTATGAGAAAACATTCCAGTTCTAAACAGACATTTTTTATAAAATCAACTCATGATTAAGTGAGTATGAACTTTTTTCAACGTGGGTCGAACATAACATTCCGTAAACGTAAAAACAACTGCACCACGGAAAAAATAAACTCAAATAGAAAAGGCAATCGGAGACAGTCTAAAAAGGCAAGTTTCAAGGCAAAAGGAACTCACAGCTGCATTGAAATTAATCTCTTCATGTTCTATTGGAGTTCAAACAGTATTTGGTATAAAAAGTATCCAAGTTACTATACTGCGAGCTTTGCGTAGTTATGAGTTTATTAAAAATAAGTATTAAAGTGAACGCGTTTCCATTAATATACAAAATATTCCTTTTTCAAATTATACATTATTCTTTACAAACTATTGTTAATTGTATAAAACTAATTTCACTGCAGTTTCCGAACACAAGAAGTCTATATGAGAGGGACATAAATATATTCTTAGGACGTCAACACGACGAGCAGTAAATACGAAAAAAGTGAAGATGAGAATAATAATTTACAGTTGCTATCGTAGTTTATTTAAAATTTTTTTTTCTTGTATGATAGACAGTAAGTTTGTTTTTTTTGTTTTCAAAAGAAAGATTCGTCGAATGTAAGGTTCGTTTATCACGCACAAACGAAACGCATTCGCCTCGTAACTTATCGTACTTATCACAGTCTATCAGTGCGTTATCATTATCATTTTTTAAAGTCTACACGCGCATCGGACGCGTCATTGTACCCATCAATAGGTATATTTTAGAAACCTTGCTGGGCTACGATTGATTCATCGTTGTTTCATTTTCGAACATGGCCAATCTAAAACGGTTTTTTTATCAAAATTTCTACAATCTTAGAGTAGAATCTAACAGTTTAAAATTATCGCAATCTTAAACCCTGTAAACCTATTTTTGCATAAGATATCATCTAAAAATATAATTCTACTGATCGACAAGCTTTCCAAATCTTCCTTCATTTTTTTGTATAATAAACAGGCACAACTGTCGTTTTACATCATATTTCATATAAAAATTTAACTATTTATGCTTCGATGGTTTGCACGATGGACGTGTATTTGGCAAATACAAGAATATGCAGTTAAACTTGACGTCATAGAGCAATAAAACTTTGATAAAATACAAATTAAGTAATGCAAAATATCCGCTTCAAGTACAACTGCGATACCCTCATTTTAAAACTATCTCTTAGTCTAGTTAATAATTTAAATAGTCTGCTCTAGAAAACAGTACATTGCTAATCTAACAAACAAAGCTTTTTTTCTATAGTGGAAAAAACCAGAACCGATCCGTCAAATAAAAAAATTTTTATTTTCTCACAGCCGAAACGTCAATTTGAAAAAGTAAAATGGATTTCTTGAATATTAGCACACCATATAAATACGAATGTTGGAACATCATAATTTCAATAATTATTAACAAACATAGACATCGGTCTATTATCGCGTCTAGCTGCACGAACTCTCGGCTCATTTCTCATGTTCTCATGATTAACGACGTTCTCCTCGTCGATTGCGAGTCTGGGATCCGAGTGAAATGACCTCAAATTGACCCTAAGCGGTGGAGGTAGCGGCGGCGGTTGTTGTTCTCTGATATGATCGGCATAAACTCGAGGTCTAAACGAGTTCCTGTTCTGCCTGTTCCCACTTCCGGTATTTTGCGCGTTCCTCGCGAATTGTCGATTTCGCATGAGAGGACTGTGAGTTACGAGTTGTTGCGTGGGCAATGGTAATGGTTGCCTATACCTATGTCTATTCGCGCCAAGATTCGGTGTATGAACTTCAAGTGTATCGTAGTCTTCTCGTTGAGGTGGTAGTTGGTCGATAGGTGAGGAGTAGTCTGCATAGTCGACAGTATGTCCGTTGTTTCTGATGGTAACAGTTGCCTTAGGCTGTTGTTGCGGTGCTGCTCGGACCAAACTCGATGAGCGATCCGACGTAGTGGTGGTGATGGTGTTGGTCGGATAATAGTAGCTGTCGTGCTTGGCAGGCGGCAGCGCCGAGTAGCTCACGTACATTGGATGGAGTGCCGTGTGGCCTGCTTGACCAAAGTCTCCGCCGCCGACAAAGTCAACTGCAAAGAGGCGTGCCACGTGCTTTTTTGTTTCTTTCTTTCAATTAACTGAACGCGTGTCGGCTTATATATTGTGTTGCTCATATTTTGTAGCTGCATTCAAAATTTTTGACTCACTCGACCAATCATGGCAATGTTGAGGATGAGATCACGTGTCACGCGGATGACAATATCGTCTATACGTACTGCGACAGTTTTCAATATAATATCAATTACTCACTCGTGTCGTTTCATTGCTACGCTCTTTTTTCAGTTCAACGTGATTTATCGATTTCCTATCGTACAGTACTTCGGTTCTTTTTTGCTGTGATTGGAACAGGATATTTTTACTTAGAAGCGATGCTAATTACTAAGCTACTGATTAATTTGCAATAAAATATTTTCAAGTGACATGACTACTACGTTAGAAAACTTTTGCAATTTTAGAAAGTTTCTCAGCTGAATAAAAAAAAGAAATATAAATATATCTATAAAATAAAATAAATACGCTTTTAATATCAGGAAAAAAATTGGATTTATTAATAAAAAAAGAGTAACTTGAATGTAAAGCTCCAAAATATGATCGCTCAAGCATAAGTAGATCGATTAAATTTTTCGACAATTCAAGAACCACTGTAAAGCCATATAGAGAGACGAAGCTTGAAAGAAGTATCTACAAGTGCTTTGCTATACTAAACTCTATGCATGCTGAGTATTGATTCTCGCAAAGTTTCCATGAATACATTTGCGCTTTCGTCGTTTCTTTGAATCGTACTTTGATTCATATTGACAGACTTATAACACTCGTTCAATTGTAACTTCATGTCTATTTATAAATCCATGACCATGAAATTCTATCAATATAGCTATTCTTACGTGAAACATTCAGTAATCAATTTATTAACATTAAAAAAAATTGAAAAATCATTCATTGACTGAAATACTCTATAGACAATATTTATGCATTTATAATCTAATAGACCATGCATATTAGGTTTGTCTTTGATGCAAAGCACTTACCAAAGTTCACAAGTATAATTAAAAACCCTCATTTATGAATATACCATCACCAGTTACAATTATATGTTAGTTTTTCCGTCACGGGAATATAATTTAGTAGTAGGTGCCTCATTCATAAGCGTCATTAGTCATGAAACTATTGTGATTTATCTATGAGAGAAATGTAATGCTTGTATGTGCTCCCAAAAGCTCGTTCTAGCGAATACGCGTATATCAGAGTAATTTAGATCGATAACTTACAGCTGTCGTCCTCTTCCGTAAAAAGCCGAGCTAAAAATAGACCACCGATAATCGCTATGACCTACGATAAAACCAGTTCATAATTAGTACAAATTGTTATTGTTGGAAAACTGATTTTTACAGCGAAAACATGATAAACTAACTGCAAGTGCACATTGTATGACCGCGTGCAGAACCTCAACAACTTCGTAATCGACAACACAGCCTGTAACCCAATCGGGTCGGTAAAGATCTGGTCGATCCGGTATCGTGCCATTGTAGTAAGGCTTGCATCCTGGCCCATTGACCAGCCACCAGGAAAAACTACCGGTGCCCAAATTCAACAGGTCGCTGTTCTGAAATTAGAGATAGGGCGGATATGTTAATTACGATAATTTGAGTATCCTAAATGCGACGTGAACTGCATATTAAACGTTTTTTGTTTCTCGACCTATGTATCCACGACGCTTTAAAAGTAACCTCACGTTTATTCATCTTAATTTGATCGAAAATGTTTACATTGTTGAGATTAAAAAAAGGATAATTTCTTCTTTTTTGCATATTAGTAAAATATTATTTAAAACTAATATCTGAGTAGAATATTTAGTGCATCTAAGTACTATTCAATTATCGATAAAAACAAAGAAAGAGAAACGTTTAATTTTCATTTTTTTTTTAATCGCGGAACTTTACAATGATTCATGGAGCGAAATAATATCTACTGACAGAACTAGACTTTGCCAATAAAAATCAAAGTGTACGTAAATAAAAGCGAACGATCTTCAACAGTTGTGCCGACTGACAACTTAGAAGAGAAAAAATAAATCTCTATAAACAGTCTCCCATGAAAACAAGTCTATTACAAAAAGGGTCGCCTATGCAATTCCAGTCATCGCGCCGGCAGAAAACGCCAATTCTCGAAAAATTGGAGCAAGTTATTAGATGACTCACCTTGTTCAATATCCCAACATTAAGATAGAAGCACGTAAGGAATACGTTCCAACCAAGCCAGAGTCCATTCCAAACGCAGTACTGTAAAAGAATATAATAGAGTCAAAAGACACAGTCGCAAACAAGGAAGATTATTATTGAGGCTTATTGACAATTAGAACGCGGCACTTAGATAGCGTAATGGGAGTGAAAGAGCGAGAGCTCGTGTCCGTTTCCTTAAGTGAAATGTGACTAACTCTCTAAGAATGCCCTCCCCAAAGCAGGTCAACGGACTTGTAGCTCTCCGGAGCCTGCACGACCCTCGCGACACCGATTTCTCACGCTCATTTACTCACGCGAGCCGACTGCGAATAAGCGTTTTTCTTTTATAAAAACGTGTCATATTCAATTGGCAGGAAAGCTAACGCGTAAGGGTTTTACTTTGAGAAAACTCTTGCGTAGACGATTGATTGATTTTGATGACGCGAAAAATCATTATATTAATCTTTGTGAATGAATTCTTGATACGTTAAATAAATAAGGTTGATTAGTAAATTTTCTGCTTTAGAGAGTACTGACAATCATCAAATAATTCAAGCTGGACAGATGTTTATAGCTGTGGCTCTTTGCGTTTTTCAAACAACACCGTGAAGATGACAGGAAAGATATTTAAAAAATCGAGTCATTGTGTAAACAATAACACAGCATGCTTGAAAGTCTTGATTTTCCTTACACACATGCACTTGTACAATCAGTTTTTTTTTTCTGCACTTGGCAGTGCAACCTATTATTAACACAAGATAACTATTCAACACAATCAGCATCACACTTTGCAAATAAAGGGGAAATGTTTCTGGTTCGCTGCTTGTGAAGGTATATCTAGAGAAAGTCTCATCACTCAGTGCACTTCTTATTTAGCTTTACTTGGTTAATGTAAACAGACTTCACTGTTTCTGAAATACTTACAGATAAAATATATTTAGGTCGATATTGAAAAGCTCCAAAAAATCCAAGTATGACAAAGATTATATTAAAAAAGTTGATCAGTATTGGTACCCACATATATCCTAGAAAGTCGAATACCTGCCTCTCCACGGTTGTTATCTGAAAAAAAAATCGCAATAATAATTTTTCAAAGAATATAAACACAGATGTATTTGAAGTAATAATTCATTTCATATCTGGTATAGTATAGGAAATGAAATATAATTTTTTTTCTACAACAGCTTTGGTTGAAATGACATATTTTGTACTTCAGTTGCTCAATTCATTAAATGGTCTTAATTCATGTCAATTGTTATGTAGTTTACTCATTCCGATGTAGTCATCAACATGAAATGAAAATTAAATTATACGTACGTATAAGAATATATAACTCCGGAGATAGTATTTTTGAAACAATTATATATATATAAATAGTGTACAAGCTTTCTATTTCAAAAATTAATGACATATGCCTTTGTACTTTATAATAGAGTTAGTTATATGAACTAATCAAAGCATCTTTTGAGTATTTTTAAATTTTGCGGTGGTGAAAGAACAGCTGCTCGAAGATATTTATAGGAGTAAGGAAGTGAATGTCTGGTCTAGATGACTGTGTTAAAAGTTATGATTCTCACAGCTGAAACTTGTGATTCAATGTGCAGCTAAGTGCACAATGTAAACACCATTGTCATGAATGTTAATATATATTGAATCAAATTGATAGGTCTATAATAAAGATAATTAACAATTATTTTTATACTTTTTAACAGATATTTTTAATTTTAATAATTCATTTTGCTTGTAAAATGCCTCAAGGTAGTAGCATGACATGAGCATGTAAACAAATACAATGACTTTCTTATCTTTGAAAGAGTAATCAACAACGACATGAATCTATTTGAGTCAGAATCATATGAAACCATTGTGTTGCCTACTTAAGTGATATTATTCACTTACTATAATTAAGATATTAAAAATAACTTGGGAGTAGTTTCTTATAAATTTTTAACTGTTATTTAATATAACATAAGAAAAATGAAATGAAAAGCAGAATTGTTGCAAATGGTATTACTGATTTCCAAGAATATATGAATCAGATTGAATGAGATAATGAATTTTTATACTTTGTAAATAAAATTTTTGAATAAAACGTTCGCACATAAGATCTGCACATTGATGACTAAGTTAAAATATAAATTATATTTTAAATTCAACATAACAATTTGTACTTTTCGTTTCAAACCATATGACTCACCGTCTCAACAAAAAAAACATCTCATTGACGACTCTCAACCGATCGTCTGGTTCCAGTAAGGCAAAATAAAAGAACGATTTCCTAAAACTCGAACACCTGCATCATACACACTATCTATATGCCCTATCCACGAGCATTCCGAGAAAGTAAGCGACTCATCGTCATTCTCGTATTTTCCCTCGTCGAACCAGTTTGAATCGGACATCGAAGATGAGAGAAAAAAAATGAGAAAAACGAGCTCAGCCACAAATTACCCCCTTCACGACTTTTCTTTTTTCACCGTGAGATAGATATACCTGCGTACATCCGTTCTCCACACATGTCGGACTCGAAGAGCGAGCATATAAATAGCATTGCGATGGTCAAAAAGGTACGTGAACTTACAATTTGGAGGCAGCATATCGTAAGTAAAAAGTGCCTGTTGCTGCAGAGGCCCATATCTTGGACGACACTTGCGGATTGCAGCCAGACACGACATATCGTTTATACGGCCGTTACCGATGATGCCTCGTCGCCATTTTCACTTCTTTCTCTCTCACTCTCACACACTTCTCTTCTTTCCTCGCGTGCAACAACAACGCACAGCACACAGTATAGGCCTGGCTTACCTTCGCGCTTGCCTGGCGTACACTGTTGGCCGAGCGACGGCGGTTAGGTTACGTTACGGATGGAGGACTGAGGATGAGGAGGGGAGGCATCAGGCAAGTGCAGAGCGCGGCGGCTGCAACCTGCTGCTTTGTTGTTCCCTTTTGTCTGCTTTTCTATGAGCTGCTTCACTCCCACGCCAACGAGGGCTGCTAACCTGCACCTATACACTACACGAATCGATTTACCTGTGCACGCGCTCATTAATAAATTGTAATATACCGGAAGACTCGAAACCCTGCTTTACTATAGTTTCTGTCTTTCTTTCTTTTTTCTATCTTGCTTCAGAAGAGATAGATGATTTGACATCGATTTTTATCTACATGCGATTTTGGTCGACTGGATGATAAAGACTTGTATAATATTGACTTAGTCTCGCATTGCAAAGGGGAAACATTTTAACGGCTTCTAGAAATATAAATTATATATGTTTTTTGAGCATTTATTCAAAAATATGTTAATGTTTGTAGGATAAAATGATTTGTTACAATTTCCTCTTTCTAACTGTAGTTAATTTTGAAGGATCACACAAAAGATATTATTACATTAAAGGAAATCGTGATGTACTAGACAAATTAAATAATTATATTTATTTGTATATTGCATTTGAACAATTATATTCATTTTTATATACTTCAAAATAATAATGCGTGTTCATTTGTCAAAAGCTAAATTTTTGTAGGTTAAGAAATTTTGTAAATAAAAAACAACTCGTATATCTCCTAAAGCATATTTCGTAGCGATTCTGAATCAGAGTTCACACTAAATATTACAAGCAAAAAGTGTATTTTTCACATTAATTTTTAAAGAATTTGATAAAAGGATTTTACGTGAGCATTTGTAAAGTTTTCTTTTACTGATACGTAATTAACCAAATATTCCACGAGAATTTTACTTCGATCTCTTTGTTCGCCATGCTTTTGGTGCTTCTATGACGATACTTTCAACTCTAGCTGTAAGTTCATTAAAAAAACAATATTCTCAATCATTATCTCTTGTGAAAGTATACGCTAATATTGCTTTAACGAAAATTGTGAATTCAAAATAAAATAAAAAAAACTCACAGCTAGACAAAAGCAGCAACATATTTATACGTTCAACTAAAAAGGCTAAATGAATAGTGAAAATCTACACGAGCTTGGCGAAGATTGTAGATTATTCTGTAAAGCATTCTCTTCAAAACATCTTCTACATCCGCTTTTACGAAACATAAAAGAAGAAAAAAGAACGATCGTAAACTCAGTTATCTGTCGACTCTTGCATATCCATCTAATGCTCGTAAAAAAAGCTACGTTGAATTTTAACCACGATACTCTATCACCGGCAATATGTTAGATTCGTCGGCAAGTTGTAATAACGACGATGACGACGCGACGGCAGCAGCAGCAGACGAGTGCCGCGGATGTTTGCTAAGTAGAAACGACGACGACGACGACAACGACGACAACGACGACAACGACGACGACGACGACGACGACGGCGATGAAGTGGAAAGTGAATGCGGGCACGGGATTGCGGAAAAGCCGGAACTGTGTCGGCCGCCACACTGCCGACAGCCATCAAGCTCCGGCAAAGGACGTGCCAGTCATTCGAGAAAAGGTAAAGGCGCTGAACAGATACGAGGCTAGAATACTAATGTCGGCTTTTCTTGAAATTCGGCTGGTTTTACGTTACTAAAAATACATAAAACGGATCCAACAGTTTGTTTTCTTACTTCTTTACACTCTATCGTCCGTCCACCTTTTACAGTTGAAATAATTTTGATTGGCAATTTCCTATATGCACTCCATCCGATTAACATTCACTTGTTATTTGGTATTTTGAATAAGTTGGTCATAATAGAGATAATATTTGAGAAAGGTTCAACTACAACTCGAATCTTCAAGGCTTCAGATGTGGAGTTTTCCTTGCACGAGGTCTACGGTGACGGCAACTGCTTGTTTCGCGCCATTAGTTTCATTCTCTGGGGAACTGAAAGTCGACACAGATACCTGCGCTCACTGGTGAGGATCGTTACGATCGTTTCTATCTTATCTGATTTTCCTGTTCACAAGCTCGATCACAATCAGTGTTGCTCTTTCACTTTTTCGCGTTGAAGTCTCTGACTGAAATTGCCGACATCTCGATAACATTGTAAATATTATATTCCGGAAACGCTGACTGTGAAACAGACACGGACGACGCGCTGCAAACGTGAGAAAAGTCAATCTTGCAGGTAGTAAGTCATATCGGTAGCACGTGGCGCGAAATAAAGCCGTTGGTGCAAGCCGAATGGAGTATCGCGAGCTTGCGCGAGTACATGGGTTTCATGGACGCGGACGGAACGTTCGCCAGCGAGCTGGAGTGTCTGATTGTGACGAAACTCAAACGATTGAATCTGGCGATTTACAGACGAGCCGGTGCCGCGGGAAATCTGCGACGTATCCTTTACAGCCAGTATAACCGACGCGCACCAACCGCCAATCTTCTGTTTAGCGGAAGGAATGAGTTCGGGCATTACGATGTGCTGTTGCCAGTACGATGAGGATCCATGTTGCGCGCGCTCTCGCATCGCACGGAGACGTCGTTGCTCCGAAGCTATTCGCATTTCTCGAAATGCTTAGAAAGAAATTAAAGTGCGCTCTAGTCTTTGGCTTGCCGTCCGATGCGAAACATAAATTTATATTTGCGAAAAGTCTCGCGCGAAAGATTAGACTGAATTGTATGAATATGATTTTGGAGAAATCAATGCCAAGTAATTGTTTCATTGGGCGCAACATGCTACCATTTAACTAATACGCTTAAATAAAATAAAAAATCGAATGCCAAGTGGAAATTCTTTGCGCAGTGTTAATGCATAGATGCTGAAATAACGATTAGGCAATCGATTTACGATTCTTAGGAAGACTTCCATTTATCGATAACCGACACACCAAAAAGTGTGCGACAATAATGTACCACACATTTCAAAGAAGTTTCGGTACGAGATGCTGCTTCTAAGCACGACCTCGAACAGTCGAATGATATCGATCGTAAAAGTCACGCAAAAGCAACCGCACTGGAATTTTTTTGTTCACCATTACGAAAGCTACAGAGGAGATGGTTTAAATGGCTATTCCGAAATAATTTTCCAAAGATTTATGAAAAATTACATCGCATTTTTGTGCAAAATTATGAGGAAAGTCAGGATTACATACCTGCTCCTTGAGACTTCTAGATAGAAAATTAATTAACAACAATATTTCTGAGAAGAGAATTTTGGAAACTATGTTCATTTTAATTATTCATTAATAACATTTGATCTTATAAGTTAGATGGACAGGTAAACGTCTTTCGACAATGTAACTAATAATAACATTCACAGAACTTTTGTAAATAATCATGCTATTTTTTGTTTTTTTTTTTTTTTTTTGTTTAACGTACCTCTATTTATGCTCCATCAGTGCTAATCATGCTATTTATAATAAATTTTCCGTTATAGATACTATCCACGTACTTAACTGTACACCTGTATTCATGCCGGATTGCCTTTTCAATCATACGGTAATCATTATTGAAGCATCTTAAACATATTGATCCTACATTCCAGAATGAAAAATTTAATTCAATAAGAACAAGTTATAATTTGTACATGTCTTTAATACAGTAAACTGCATAAAGGAGACTATAGTTTCATTGATATCAAGGATATCAAAAGCTAATGTTAGACGGAACTTATCTAGTAACGAGCATTTGTTAAATATTACTAACTTTATAATATATCCATAAACAATGTATTAAATTGAATTAGAGAATCATGGAATGAAATAACGAATAATAAATATAGAGCGACGATTGCATTAGAGATATTAACGGTCAACTATTCTGGATTTCGTGTTGTATAATATTGTTTGTTAAAACAAAACAAAAAAATACAAAACAATCCTCTCAACAGCTTAGAATAAATAATATAATCAATAAATGAAGAACAGAAAGAAGATATGATATGAATTATCAGTTAGAACCGCAGCAGCAAGTAAAACATTGGTATTACGTTTCAATATGTTGTAAAAATAGTTTGCCTCGGCAATAGATAAAGAATCAATCGGGTAAGTTTGGTTACCGTTGATTCTTTATTTACTTCTTAATTACTTATAGTTTAATGAAAGTCTCCTGAATGAGTGCCAAAGCGAGTAGTTATCAGTGGCTAAACAGTGTTTCATTTCGTTTATTACGAATTGCAAGAAGCGAAAGACGCTCGATCACAATCTGACTTTCGCACAGAAAAATTGAACAAAGGAAACTCAGTCCATAACATATGTTATTGATTAGATTAAATAATATAGATAGTGAAAATATCTCGACGTGTAGCGTTTGGTTTTGATAATATTTAATATGAAAAATTCAAAATTCTCAAGTATTCCTCAAAGTCAATGTCTAATCACTATCATAATTACCGATAAATGAGTCAGTCAACGATCTATGTGGACTTGATACTTTAGTCGTACGAAACAAAGACACTCGACTATTAATATTGTAGAATATTAAAGAATAATCTTAAATTAACTGAATAATGGAGCGCTGGGCTGAGAAAGTAGCTGTAGTAGCAGGTGCATCTGCTGGTGTTGGCTTGGAAACTGTGAAAGCTTTCGTGCGACACGACATGATTGTTGTCGGTTTTGCGCGAAGACTTGACAAAATGCAGGTATGCTAATCTAAATTTCCGATCTGAAATCGCGCAAAGCCTTTCATTAAATACGTCGTCGTTTCGTTGAAGGATCGCATAAAAGCAGCTACTGGGCCAGGTAAATTCCATGTCAAAGCATAAAACGTCGATAACGAAATCGAAGTTACTCGTGCGTTCGAATGAATTGAAAAGAATTTTAAAACGGTGCACGTTCTTGTAAATAATGTCGAGTGTCATGCAGTGGGTACCATTTGTGGTATTTGATCAGCTCTGTCAACGTTTAAAATTGACACTGTCAATGCTTACAGTATCAAGCGTCGTTCTCTTTTTATTTATAGCCATGAAAACGGAAGCTATACTGCGTACTATAAACGTCAACGTAATTGGCGTTTTGCACTGTACGAGAAAATCTGATGAAAAAGTATAATCACGAAGCTCATATAGTTAACGTTAACAGGTAATTCACATAGATTTGTTTTCCATGTCCTAAGGTGTACAACCGATTGAAATCTTTAATCAAATCAGCACTACTGGGCACAAAATTACGAATGTCCCTGGAGTTAATGTTTATCCAGCCACTAAGTATGGAGTTACAGCTTTGAGTGAGATTTTAATTAATGAAATCAAGGGCGATAAAATTAGAGCCTCAGTCCTGTAATCGTCAAAACTGAGTTTTTCTATGCTGCTGATCGTCACTCTTCGTTTCTCGATGATAATCCAACATTTTCTTCGGAAGATGTGGTTAATTCTATTGTCTATGTCATTTCAGCTACTTAACATGTGCAAATAACTGAATTGACAATCACACTGATGGGCAAAATAGATTAGAATCGATCGTTTTCTCTATTCCATTAAATAGAGTGCTGTAAAATTGGTATTATATTTTTCTCATAAGATCGTTCTTTAATACATTATTATGTAGTCATTCGTAATAACCTAATAATCAATTTGAGGTAAGGACACCAATAGTCGGCCATTTTAATCCACGCATATCAAATACAATATTCATTTTAAATGGTACTCAGTGTCGAAAAAATTGATTGAAGTTTGAAGGTAAACCATATTTTTTTCGTAATTGGACATCTTTTTAGATTTTTATGTACCATAATATCTGTTATAAAATAATATATAAAATAAACTTTGTTAACTAAACTAATACGTATTAAAACCAAACGATGTATCAATGAATTGAAACTCGAGTTGTGTACTACGATGTGCGTCAACTCATTTTCTGTGCATAAACAAGTCGAGTGTCTTTTTTTTTCATTAGTCGAGTATCTTAATTTGAATACAAATGTAGGTTTGTATGTAAGAAGGCTATGAAACATTAATTTATTTAATCGCTTATTAAATAATCACATTTACATGAGCTTGCGTGAATAAAAATGATCATAGCATTTCATTCGAGAATTCTTGTTCGGCGTAAAGAACGCTTTCAAACATTTATAAAAGCCACTAAAATCGTTGTAAAAAGTTGTTTTGTTTTTTAATAATACTTGAAGAAACGATGTGCCAAAGTAGCTGATATATTGCGTAGAAAGTTGTATGATACGTCACATTATAATTTTCAATTATAAAACCTTTCAATCCTCTTTTTTTTCACATATATACAGGTCTTATTTGACAGTTAGATAGACGCTAGGCTTATAATTAATTTAAAGAAACACAACGCTTACAATCGTAGATGTTGATAGCGGAAACTATTCCACACAATGGTATTCACTTAATTTTAATGTAGATTATCGTGAGCTTACATGAGATTTACGTATTCAGCCACCTCGTCACCGTCGTTATTCCGTTGTATAGCTTACAGCTGAAAAATAAATATGTACAGATGAAATAAATCATGCGCATCTACAATTTTACAATAAAGAAAAATGAGACGTTTATACCTAACATTATATAATAAGTTCGAGCTCCACGTCATACTCAAGTAAGACGAGTCTCTTTGAACGGCTCGAACAACTTCTTTGGCTATCTCTCTCTCGTTTTGACGAAGCAAACTAAAAAGATGCGCATCGTTTAATAATCGTTCGCAGGCAATGTTAACAATCGTTTACTGTCGGCGTTACCTCGGCTCTGCTCTTGGCGCAACAGTCATAAAAGTCAGTCTATTATTTCGTCCGCTGAACTGCTGTCCCAGGCTTTCCATCAAACCTGCCATTCACGAAAATCATAATTTCAAATCAAGTGACCATAAGGTATACGTTCTGCTTTGAATATACGTCACCCGCTATGGCTGCTTTGGATCCCATATAAGCGTCCTCCGTGGATACTGTTGGCGTGATTCCAATAACATGAGCTCGCTCTCGGTGCAGCATCGCGGGCAGGAATGCGAGTACAGTCTACGAGTATAAACGCAAAGTGTCATTAAACCCCCTTTTTAAGTATCACCAAATTATAATTTAATAATGACTTGTTACAATTAATATCTTATGAAAATACCATTATCACTACCGTTCGTATAGTTTTATATAATTGCGAATGGCTACTTTAAACCGAACAGCAAGATTAGGTTGTTTGTCGTTATGACCATTTCACGATGCTGATTATTTGCTATAAATGCATAAAATAGCAGACGATATTGTTTACTAGCATTGAATCCGTAAAGCCATGATTCAAAAAGTAGTTTTGAAATTAATGAGAATGTTATTAAATGGAAAATAGTCAATTAATACTCAAATATTACTTGTATCTACCCAATAATGGCTCATGAGAGTCCGGCTGACTGTATCAAAAACAGCTTCATCCGGGCTTCCGGCACATGTGATTAGAATATCGAGCCGGCCCACATCTTCCTTCATCCTTTTCGCAAGAGTCTTGATCTGCTCGCGATCCCAAAGGTTGCAATTGTAGGCAATACTCGACGGCGTAGCACCTCCCGTGGCGTCATCGTCGTCGTGCTGCTTTCGATGATACCGCGAGCCGATGCGTTCGACTCCCGGATACTTGGCGCGGAGTGTCGACGCTACGGCGTCGACGGAACTTCCAGGCTCGTCTACGCAAATTACTGAACACCCGCCGCGAGCGAACTCTTCAGCTAAGAGACTACCCAGGCTCGATGATGCTCCTGTTACCTGTGAGATACATTGCAACGTTGAAACAAAACGTTATTAAAAACGTGTATGCTTTGTAGTACCAATATTCAATTGGCTGAGATGATGCTTTGACAAAATAATCAATTTAAAAAAAAGGGTTTTTATAATTATAAGAAATAAATGGTTATCACATCAATGACGAAGCTAAAGCAAATAGTCGTAACAAAACGACAATATCTTTATCATCCGGGTTTACATTTACGAAAATAAATCATTACGTAGTTGAGATGTGTTTACAATCTTTGGTAACTGATGAACGTTATTATAAGCTGTCGCAAGTCATTGAGAGTTACTTTTTATATCAAAGACGCAGCGTGTCAAAACAATTAAAAATCATCAATCAGCGGAGTAATTTAAAAACATGAAAGTAACGATATTTCAGACTAAAAAACAATGTAATTGACTTTAAAAATGTTGACTTTGAAGAATCTGTCACTATAAATTCTTTTAAACATGCTTATACAAATGTGTTTACGAAATTAATTAACGTTCTATGTCGTAGTATGAAATATTATTTTTATTCGTTGATATATAGAATTATTTCTACTCTGTTGTGTTGTAGTTCTTTGATATAATGATCCAATAAAACTGAATGTTTTATGCTTTAAGTACAATTTAATGCTATCTAAGTTAAGTTTTTTCTCTAACATTTTAGTCCTCATTTGAAAATCGATAGCACAACAATTTTGAATCAGTACTCGACCATAATCCATTGTAATTACAAGACGAACCTAGTGCCGTTGACTGCAAGTCGCCTTGACTACTGCCACTACGTATTTCTCGCAAAGTTAGATGCAAAACATTGCAATGTTCATCGCGAAAGCTTCATCGTCTCGCTAGCCTCTCGAATAGCTAATTAATACTATACCAGTACTACATCGCCGGTGAGATCCCGCGGGGGTTTCGGCAGGAAAGACTTGACGACGCCGAGAAAGATGAGAAACCCGGAAATGGCCAGGCCAGCGAGGAACTCGAAGCTGAGGTAGAACCAAGCTGCCGATGACGGGCAACTGATCGTCGGACCTGATATCACGACCTCGTCCATCACCGACAGCATCGCTTTCTGAAACAGGTGGCGAGGAATACATTGCGCTCTCGGGAGCTTCTTCATTTTTGATTCTCGGAAAGCCGACTGGACCTACTACTCTTGAGCTACGCTGACGCCTAGCGGCTATTGACATCTCGTATAAATATGTATTCCACTTTGCAAAGGGAATTGGCATTTCGCGCGGATTCCGCATACGTGAGCGGCTTACGGCTATTCGAAATTGATGTAAAATTGTCGAAATACCTGTTCCCTCGACCTGGAAGTAAATTTCATGATATGCAGCGTTCCATCATAATATCCAAATCGGCACATTCAGCCTCTCGCGCACGTGTAATATATGTGTTTTAGAATGTAAGGTGTCGCGCTCGAGGAAATCGTCGTTACAAAATAACGTAAGGCATTTGGAAACATTGTGCGCGTGGTAACACGTATGATTAAAGAAAGAAAAAAAGCCGAGTGAGCACTGACGTTATATTGTTACTGGCTCCTGTATAAAAACCAATTTAAATCATCCGATTTGTAACTTGTAATTATCCAAGAAAATTCTATTTTTACGTACTGAAATTAAGAAATTACGCGCCTGTCTCTCGACTACAGTAATAATGTAGAATTGCAAAAACAACAAATTTACTTGCCAGTTACATTGAAATAAACACCGCCAATCGAATGAATGCAGGACAATTTTTTTTTCTCCAAAAGAAAAAACCAATTGGAAATAGATATACTGTCGGTATTCAAACACTCTCATGGAAATGTACATGCGTGTAAAACGAGTCAATCGTCGACAGGCAATTGTACATACTTAGTTATAGGTCTGGTAGTGTATGCACAGGCGCAGAATAACTTTAAGCTCGCTGCCTATAAATTAGAGTTTTAGCGTTGCCAAGCGTGTCTATTGGCATGCAATCTTATAGCTGTGAAACGGTGATTTATCATTTGCTTACAGGATTATTACATTGATATGAACTTTATTTTTGGTTCCTATAACTGAACCTCGTGTTAAAATTAAACGTATTCATACTATTTTATTGGAAATTTGTAGTGGTTGTGGATTTTATTTATTTTCAAGTTGATTGTTAAAAGACTATTTTCTCAATTTACTAAAACATGCTCTTATTCAATGTATGAGGCAGAGAATATGCAATAGTTATAAATTTGCTTGTATGGTGTAAACTTACTAAATCTATCACTTATTGTTTTTCTATTTATAGTTAATTAAACCACGCAATAAATAGGTAAAACTCAGGTCCAGAAATGAAGTCTCTATATTAGTTAATACATAATAATTTTTTTAGGATACCGTCTGACGTAATATACAAATAACATACAAGCATATTTAATATGAAAGTTACATAAAAGTAATTTTCCTCGTAAAACTTATGAATTAATAACGTGTACTTCGAGTCGATTTTATTTGGATTAACGAAAAAATTTCTTAAGAATAGAGCTTTACTACTCTCACTTTTGCACTGGATATATTAACGCGAACTGCACGGTTTCGTTATAACAAGCTATTATCAGATTTCGACAACTTTTCTGGTTTCTGTAACGCGTGCAAAACGTGACTCAAAGTGAACAATTAGAGGAGAGGCGACCTATCAATTATATCCCAGCAAATTGAATTCAATCGTTTACTAACTCGTATGATCTATAGTTACGAAGACGAAACGAGCTATGGCGTTAATTTGAAAAATTACTCACCCGAACTTGCCTCGTAAAAGTAATTGAAAAAACGCCAGACAAACTTTTTATTCGAATGCTTGTTCAAACGGTGATGTAGCTTCAACTAAAATTCACGTAGCGCTGTTTAATCGTTGTGGTCCACGAATCGTAAATTTCTTAGTTTCGTCGGCTATTTTGTCGATAAAAACGTATCACAGATTCGGTATTATAATCATAACTCGTTTAGTTTTGCCAGGTCGCATTCAAATTTTGTATCCCACTAGGTTCATTGTCAATTACATCGCAAGCATTATTTCATTGGCCGTTCAATAACCTCGGCAACAATATCTCGACATGAGCGCGCTGAGCGAAAATAAGAAAAAAGTATATATCCACGCCGTGATGATTGGGCGTGACGTATCTCATTGCGCCACGACCGAACTAGTACTACTATTAAAAACGAGCACTGCCTGGACCAGGCTTATGTAAGTTAAATTAACGTTGACGCGCGCACCATGTGCATGTCGCTGCAATCGGACGAGTCGAAACGCGATTGAAAATTTGCAAGCGGACTATTAGCTTTTAATTGAAAACGCGAAAAAATTTACGACTGGCAGCGCACGCACCGGCGTTGCTCCACCTACAGTGAGGTGTGTTACGATCGGCGCAGAAAGTCTTTCGCCGATGCTTATCGCTTTTCGCTCGCCTGATTTTCACCAGCTTCGACCGAGTATCGAGGTAGACGCGAGTCACGAGAACACGTCTGTCAATAATTCTCATAATATTTTATTTATTATAATGTAACTTGTTCTATTTTCAGGATAAATTTCATTTGTACTTGATAAATTTTTAAATAATTTTGTAATGCTGTAGTATTTCTCCACCCCGTGAAACAGTTTATCACGTATCTCAACAAAAACCGGCGAACGAGGAATTTCAATTACCGTTAAATTTAATTTAAAAGTGTTTCGGTATAAGAACGATAAGAAACAAACTAAAAAGTTATTTTTGTAAATCGATAAATAATTTTGACAGGTGATTGAATTTAATACGTACAATTTATTTAACAATCAAATCAATATTTTATTTCCATTTAAATTAATATCTTGTAACATTCCATTATAATACTCCCACGACTCAACAATCCACATACAGAATTGCATCCATATCCATGTTAAAAATTAATGCTCGCATCGATTTTGCATTTTTCACCGAATATGCACAGAGAAATTTGACGCGAATGCCAGTGTCGATGACCTTTCTTCTTTTCTTTGTATGTGATAGTAGAAATAACATACCCAGGTCGAGTTTCCGATGTTATACAACCGGTTTTTCGGCTTTTCGACTGCGCTTACTTTTTTTTTCATCATCTTAACCACGAATCGCAAACCTTTTTTGCGGTACTGTCCGGAATATATCGGGGTGAGACGAATAATCGCTTTTTTTGTTACCTTAACATTTGCTATTTATTCGTCGACAACGTTAACAGCATGACGAAATTTCGAATTTCAATTTGACGTAAAGCGATCACACGAGTTTTCTTTAATGATGCACATTTGGGAACTGGAATGAATGACAATTATAATCCGCGCCCGCTCGTAATATTTTCTAAATCGAGATTTTTGTTCTTCCTTTGCGTATGAATGATAACACTTTGCTCGTTGAATTCAGTCGCAACCCGCAGCAACGCGTTTCTAGTAGATTAATAAATGCATCAACATCGTTCATGTAACCGCGGCAATATTCCAAGTCCGGTGTCAACTCGAACCCCATTACAACGAAATTCATTAGGCCTGCCGCAATGTGAGTTTGTCCACTCTTGCGCCGCAAAATTTAATGGTATGCGAGATGAGGGAGCTGCGCGCCCGCGAGAAAGTTGCCGAACAGGTGTTAGTTATGGACTATGAAAAAAGAAAATTATAGTTGGTCGATAATCGAGGGATAACAAACTCGCGAAAGTTATTGTTATTATTGCCAAACTGACGCGTAGAAAGGAGGTTTTACGAGAATTATATGATTCGATCGCTTGAATTTTTTTATAACAATTCCTCCAAGTCGCGCGCGGAGTAATTGAATATCTCGTCTCTTTCGCGTACACGAGTTGAACATTGAAGCTGATGTTAAGGATCACGACAAATGATTCTCTGTATCGACACTGGACAAACAAAGCTAAACAGTTTGAAGAAATATTGATAATACTTAGTTAAGCGTACGTACAAGCTATTAAGATTGGCGTGACAGGATAAGCTGTCACGGAACTATCAGTTTTTTACTGTAAAATTTTAACCGTCATTTGTTCCATCGAGCAGCTATGAGTTGACACTTGGAAAAGCTAACATTTCTCGTTTCTTATCTGAATTCTATTACACCAGTAGATCATTTAATAACATTCCATAACTAATTGCACCCGTGCAAAAAGCGAAACATTCGTCGAGCTCTGATAACGTTCCAGTGCCATTGTTATTGGCCAACGGCGACTTTTGTTTCGCCTAACGCAAAGGACTTTCGTCGATTCCGTGCCAATGAGATCTGTGAAGTACGATAAAATAATTTTTTTTTCTTTTTGGTGCGAGGCTGTGGAAAAATGAATCAAACAAATCCACGTGCCGCGAAGGGGTGCAACGCATCGTCGATCGGCCTTCATTCAATTACGTCAACTCCAGACACTTTTTTCGTTTGCCGTGCAATCGAGCGCATATGATTTTAATAAACACGATTGCGCAACGAATACTGCCTTTGCCGGCACGTAACCGGCATTTCACAATGGGGCCCCCCCGTTTGAATGTCGGCGTGAGATTACCGGACCTCTCTATTAACCGCGCGCGCCTGCGTGCAAGCGCGTGCGCGCACTCCAGAAAACAAATGCGAGAAAGTGCTTACGGACACGCGTGGATAGAAAATTTACTTGCAAATGGAAAACGTTAGTTCGTTTTTTTTTTTTTTTTTTTTTTTTTCTATTACCTGTGCGTCGAGCGACTAATTAACGTTTCCACGTAATACACACGGTAAAGCCTAAATTATAAACTCTACGCGCGTGTGAAAGATCTTCTCAATGGTGAGGATTCGCTTAGGAAAATCAAAAATGAGTGATCCACCAGTGACGCCTGTCTTTAAAAAAAAAATAACAATGTAATGTTCGAAGCTGACGCCACTCGGCTCTAAAATGAAAATAATTTCGCGAACGACGAATCGCAAGGTGCTCCACCTGCACGCGATAGCGCACCTCGCTTCCAGGCCATGGTATATCAAGAAACGAAACTGCAAATGATCGAGCCCGCACGCTCACCGCGATTAAACAACACGGCTATTATGATACGCTGACGTAAGCGCGCGAGCGCGATTAAGTTTCGAGC